ATCAGTAGTGTTCGGTCAAGGAGTTCCTGAAATACGTCCTATTCGATGCAAAATGTGAGGACATTCCTACCTACTCCAATGGATGAACCAATCTCAACTTCAAAAGGATCTAGACATGGATGAACCAATCGCAACATCAACAGGATTTAGACCGTGCACGACCGACAAACATGACGGAACTACATGCACGTGTGTGCATACCACTCACTAAGTAAAGCATGTAAATATAAACCGTTACAATATACGTGTCAATATACTGAGGGAAGCAAATAAGGGACACCACTTCATCGCAGTGTTCCTTTATTTATTCTCAGGTTTTCACCCACGGTGCAATACAAAACTTATGAAGAAATCTTGAAAAGAATAAAGGAACACTTGTACTTTCATTTGTTCCCTTATTTCTTTACCTCAGTATGTTATACCGTTGTCTTCCACTTTATTGATTGTCCAAGTAGACTATCTGTTGACGTGTTACTACGCCATAACAACAATGAAACATTGTGACACGGTTTAGTTACACGCGTGTTAGCAATGATAATAACAACAATAAGCATAAATATGTTAAATCTCCCTTAAACCTGGATCTCAGACTTAAATGCTCTAAACAAGGTCAAAATCACATAAACCTTTGCTGTGCCAGTCCTTCCTATTGATTGGACAGGACCGTCTGGCTGGAGGGATCTGACAACAGAGCTCCTCATTACCGTACCTCTCTCAATCGTGTATGTACTTTTCACAAAAAGAAACGCATAACCCAGAAATCTGTTGCGAAAATGTTGTATTTTCAAACGTATAACTCGTCCACAAATAGACATCAGTGCTTGAATCATTACACCATTTAAAAAAGGTGTTCATTCAGTCAAGTGGATAAGTTTAGATAAACCATTCACAAGTGTTTTCACCCTTCAAAGACGTGTCAATACCTGCTGTGCCCACCACGGCACGAATACCAGATCTCGCTAGCCAACTATGTTCAAAGAAATGAAGTCAAAACACTGTCAATTCCTGCCCAGGACTTCACACGTCACACGCCAAGAGAGGTAAGTAACCTTCTCACATAGACATATCAAGGAGAATACATAACTAGACGGTGTCATGTCTAGAGGACTCTCTGTATGCAGTCATAGTTTTCTTTCTATTTCATCGTTAAATATACATTTTCAATCAAACTATACATTTGTGAAGACAGGAAGTGCAGCTACCCAGATGTGTAGGTTTCGTTTCAATATTCTGTAACCCATTTTTAGTAATACCCTTCGGCCCGAGTTTCAGGCACTCCAAGGGCCGAATTATGGAAACAGGTTTAGACCCGGTTTAAGGAAATCCCGGTCTAACTGTGAGTTTAAACCTGACCTGCTATGATGAAAGGTGGTTCGAACTTAATCCCAGTCTAAAACAAAGAAGTTAGACCGAGACGTAAATATTTCATATTATCGAACGTGGTTTAAGTTAGTCCCGAGTTTTCCGTCGCTCGCCGGGAAATCCCGAACACATTTACGAAGTTTGCCGATAACCCAGAGTTTTCATTCCAGGACGGTATTAAGAAAGCAGGTTTTGCACTAAACCAGGTCTTAACCCAGCAAAAAACTGGTTAAAATGCAGACCTGGGTAGGGGCAGGTTTACATGCAGGTTTTTATCATGTAACTCCGATTTACCTCTAAAATAAAACGTTGTTTCGTTCAGTTCGAGATTGTTCCATAGCCATAAGGTACTAAAATAACCAAGAAAAAGTATGTAGGCCTACATGTATATATCTTGTTATTTTGAATATCCTTTTTTGAAAAAAAACCCCAGAACTAAGGCAGATAATTAGGAAGATGACTATATTTCAAGAACAACAGAAATATAAAATATAATCCGTTCGTGAAAATGCTCGAACGAATATTTTGCCTTTAGGTTCGACCAAAAATCGTTTTTGAAAATATATCTATCTTTATATATCTATGAAAGGTATTGATATATTATGTCTGGCTCCTCTAGAGACAAATGCCGTATGTCTGGAAGCGATGTATGTCGCCGTACACTTACGAAATAAAGTATAGCTTCTGCTGGTTGTAAATTGTGCTTACCTCCCCTTGATGACTTTCGCAGACGAGACCATATCGCTGAAACCCTCCTTCTCAAGATCTGGAATACTGCTTGTCACTGTCAGTGATCTTCCTTTGAAGTCGAAGTGTTCGTAAAGAACACACGTTGCCTGGAAACGATGTCATGTCATCAACAAATGATCAGTAGCAGCTGTTTATAAATGACAACTTCATTTAAAATTTTCCTGACGTCAACTTTGTGGGGTGCAGAAAAGCATCATGCCCTTTGTAAAGCAAACGTGAAGGAACGCCTGTTGTGAACGCCTTTTTCAGCGCAATCGGTGCTCAAAACACAAATGCGTATTCATTGTTCAGGTAAAAGAATGAATGAATGGTGTTTATGATAAGAGGGGATACACTGTATGTTTGCTGAATACATTAAACAGACAAAGGGGATAGAATTTTCGATACATATTGAAACAATAATGTCGTTGATTAATTGAAGTTTTTCACGAAAATTATTAAAATGGTTTACTCTGTGACCCCATATGTATACCCGAGTTAGTGCCTGAAGCTATTGAGTGAGTGGGTTAAAATGTATCGTCACATCGGCAATATTTCAGCCATATCGTGACGAGAACATTTAATTTTATACATAGTAATTAATGGTAAATTGTAAAAACCTGTCAACGAAGGACAGTAAAATAACTAGAATATCACAATTAGAATTTAAACTAGCGTGGGAAGTTTAAACCAATAGCACTATTTGGACAATACAATATAAAAAAAAACAGGCTATAGATCGCCAATAACTGAAGGTAGATCACCATACTAGGGACCAAGGGGACAGTACCTTTGCCACCTGCATGGACCCTAGTTGGATTTACACCATCCCTTCAGCCGCCGGCGATTGTAGGAAAATTTAGCCAAAATTAAAATTACAAAAATACTACGTTTAAAAACTCCCGGTAACTTAAATTTACTTTGAAAGTTTTGGGGACTTACGTATCCTCTCAGGAGGACAATAATTTTACGCTACTTCAACCCCCTTTGACGATACAGCTACTTACAATCTAAGTTAATAATCTAAACTACCAATTATAAAACTTTATCTATTTACAAAACATATATCAAAATTCATTTAACAAATCTATCTCTTTTACAAAATCAATGATTAAATGATAATTAATTTTATTAAAAAAGGTCCTCTACTGTTTTGATATTGAAAATTTATCCCTTATGATGGAGAATTCAACACAGTCAAGCAGGACGGAGTAGTTTACTGTAGGAGGCTGTACGAGGCGAAGACAACTGACATGCATCGTGACGTCGGTTACCAAGGCAGTGACGTCATTACAGTGTGACGTCATGCAAATATTGTACTACAGTACAAATTCTTCCGCAACCTCTTTATGAAACCGGTTTCGGTTCGAAACAAAAAACCCGCTATTTTGTCAGTTTAATGCATGTAAGACGTGGGTAATAAATAAAATACCACACTCGGTCTCATTACATACGAATTATACGAAACTCGTGACCTTCCTATGTTATCTGACCTCGCTTTCGCTCGGTCAGATACCATAGGAAGGACACTCGTTTCGTATAATTCGTATGTAATGAGACCTCGTGTAGTATTCTCTATGACCGCCTCCGTGGTGTAGTGGTTAGAGCGTCCGCCCGGAGTGCGGAAGGTCGCGGGTTCGATCCCCGACTGCGTCATACCAAAAGACGTTAAAATATGGTACTTGTTGGTCCCTGCCTGACGCTCGGCATTAATGGGTACAACAAGAACTGGTCGGCTCGGAGTGAGTATAATGTGTCTGAGTGGGGTATTCATGCTTCACTGCGGTATGGTATCTCAGTGGGCTAGCACTATAAAACCTGCTTCAGTCTGGGCTAGTACAAGCAGCCGCACATACACATACACACGCATGCACGTCGTCATATGAGCGAATTATTCTCAAGTACGAAGTTAAACCCAATTCCACCACCACCACCACCATATTTAATTATCGTCTGTAACGGAATAGTCAGAATCTGAAGATCGGTTAATTGATATGGTCAAAAGGATTAAAAATGTATCCAACTAAGAACAACAACAACAACAACGCGACTGTTGATCATCAAACAGGATGTAGAATATGTGATTGTTTGTTTGTTTAGCGCCGCACTCAGCAATATTCCACCTTTATGGTGGTGGTCTGTAAATAATCCAGTCAAGACCAATCACGTTCACTTGAGATTTTTTTCAGTTCCCTTTTCTACAGATATATAACAGCATTAAACTGCCACTTTTATGATATGAATGTTTGTTGCTTAACGCCGCAATATTCCAGCTATATGACAGCGGCCTGTAAATAGTCCATTCTAAACCAGACCATTATGAGCATCAATCTGCGCAATTGGGAACCGATGACATGTGTCAACCAAAGCAGCGAGCCTGACCACCCGATCCCGTTAGTCACCTCTTACGACAAGCATGGGTTACTGAAGATCAATTCTAACCCGGATGTTCACAGGTGTCATACTATAAGAATATAATAACAATTCCATTCTGTACATTATATTCTGAAGAGTCTTTTACTACATAATGTTTAACGATTGGAAATGTACGTTGGCGGACACCCCACCCGCACCCCCCGTTTTGAAAATGACTGTGTGTGTGTGTGTGTGTGTAGGGGTTCGAACTCCTTGACCCCAATTTGAAAATTTCTGGATTTGACTATGTTTTATTACATCTATATGTAACGCCAGCATGGCGAATCATGCACTGACGATGGTAAATCAATATATTTAAATTTCTAACGCTTGACCTATGCGTCAAGTGATAAATGGTAGCGTGCATAGTACGCTCCAGAAAAGCAAAATCTTAATTTACATCTACCACTTACAACACTCTCACCGCCGTTGGCAACTGTTGGATCTATTTATAGATAAGCACGAGACTCATCACGTGAGTGCATATATATATTACACATTGTGCAGGAAGGGGGATTCCCCTTCTTGACCTCCGACAAAGACGGCTTTTCTGGCTAACTACAGTGACGGGATTGCCTGTGATTAACTGCCCACTCTGATCTATAGCTGATGATAAATCACAACCAGCAACTCGGGTCAACGTCCCGTGCCGAGGTTGACGTTTCTATTATTTCCTGTTGAGAGCCACATATCTTCGCAGTCTGACAGTGAGTAAATGCATGCTTACGTACAGTTGAGTAACAGCATCATGGTTTATAATTAAGTCCTTCTATCACGGAAAGCTTTTGGGGCCGTAAGAAATATCTTATATTATGTAAACTAAGATGGTAAACGATGAGACATCAGTAAAATAATTGTGATCATGTTATGATGAATAAATTATCTGAATTCATGTGGTATTGATCTGTAGCACATGACTTGTGCATCGCGCCTATAGGCTGCTTGCGCTTGAAGGCGTGACCTGTTTTCTGGAGTGCTTGGTACACCGCCTGGTGTAGAAATACTCCACCAGCAGCCCCAGACTAACGTCACAAGTTATTTCTGGAATACAACTTTCGCTGAATCATCGTTTATAGCTACTCACCGAACAACTCAATAAACGACTTTAACTGTGGGGCTAGACTTGCATGTAAGTCTCTTTTTAAAGGTACTAATTAACAGTTTAAATGAACATTTCTAGAAAATATAAATAACAGACAGGCGTCCTCAGACTCGGACCTTGCCTCTTTAAAGGATAGTATTACTACATGTACATCTATGGGCTTAGCCTTCAGTACATCCTTGGAGCAAGGCTACTTTTGGGTCAGCAACCGTAGATGATGATAAGGAAATATGATGCCCGACTGGGGAAATAGAATAGAGCTTGAACAAATAAAGTACAGCTCAGTTGTTATTTGGCGGAAAAAGGAATATTAACATTCGACGAACGCCTCTTCTTTGACAGAAGGAAGTATTCCGTTTTTAAGAGGTGCACTGGTCTGAAAACAGTCGTAGGAAACAATGCAAACTTAAGGTGCGAATAATTACTGTGATGCAGGTGTGTGGGGGTGGGGTGGTGTTGGTGTGTGTTGTGTGTGGAAGGGGTTGGGGGTGGGGGTGGGTTTGTGTTTGGTGGTGATATAGTAATCTAGTGGTTAAAGCCCATTTCTGGTGTCCCCCGCCGTGTTATTGCTGGAACATGGTAAAGCGGCGTAAAACTAAACTCACTCACTATCATTCAATTATTTAATGTCAATTCCCCACCTGTCTTGTTGTAATGTAACATCAGCGCTGGAAACTTGCAAACAGCTAAAACCCCATTGCTAAAACCATACTCACTCACTCTACTCTGATACCAGTATCAAATATACCGTATTAGAATAACCATTTCCTGCTTGTTTAATTGTTAGCCACAGTCAAACACGGACAGTTGAGATGCATCTGGAAAGTAGTTTAACTCCACCCATTATTATTTTCCTTTTATAAAAGTCAATTAAAAAACGTTTTTAATACATTGTTGACGATGCATATTTGTTTCGTTTATAAGGTGACATAATTATAAAGAATCGTCGTTTTTGAATTGCATGTAAACACCCTTGTGTCGAAGATTCGGCTGTCACGCAGTCAAAGCTGAGTTATCACGTGTTCACAAGGAGTGAGTGAGTTTAGTTTTTACTCAGCAATATTCAAGCTATATGGCGGCGGTCTGTAAATAATCGTGTCTGGACCAGACAATCCAGTGATCAACAGCATGAGCATCGATCTGCGCAATTGGGAACCGATGACCTGTGTCAATCAAGTCAACGAGTGTGACCACCCGATACCGTTAGTCGCCTCTTACGACAAGCATGGTCGCCTTTCGTGGCAAGCATGGGTTGCTGAAGACCTATTCTACCCCGGTTCTTCACGGGTCGTGTTCACAAGGAAAAATATTATATGGATGCCATCTTCTGTATTATGAGGAACAAAACGTTTCGGCGTATATACTTACTACTTCATTGGGTGATGACACCTGTTGTGTATTCCTTCTTTAGTCATTATAACTAGACCCATGAAGATCCGGGTTGGAATTGATCTTCAGTAACCCATGCCCGTCGTAAGAGGCGACTAACAGGATCGGGTGATCAGGCTTGCTGACTTGGTTGACACATGTCATCGTATCCCAATTGCGTGTAACGATGCTCATGATGTTCATCACTGGATTGTCTGGTCCAGACTCGATTATTTACAGACCGGTGCCATACACCTGGAATATTGCTGAGTGCGGCGTAAAACTAAACTTACTCACTCACTCATTATAACTCGAAATATGTACGTAGGTCCAATCCACTTCGACACAATGATGTGTCTTGTTAATGTTGTATTTATTTACCTACCCTTATTTACCTTACCAGTTGCGTCTTGACATCATAGGAAGTTCCGAAGTAATTACCACAGCTGGTTGGCGGTAAAGGGGCGGCGGGGTAGCCTAGTGGTTAAAGCGTTGTCTCGTCACGCCGAAGACCCGGGTTCGAATCCCCACATGGGTACAATGTGTGACGCCCATTTCTGGTGTCCCCCGCCGTGATGTTGCTGGAATATTGCTAAAAGCGGCGTAAAACCAAACTCAGTCAGTCAGTCAGTGGTTGGCGGTAGGGAGGCTTAGTGATCAAAGCGTTCCCACATCACACCAAAGATCCGGGTTCGATTCCCAACATGAGTACGATGTGTGAAGCCAAATTCTGGTGTTTCTGCTGTGATATTGCTGGAATACTGCTAAAAGTATTCCAAACCAAACTCACTCACTCATTGCACCCAGGTGGTGGACTGTAGTGGGTTTTATACCAACGTTCCATCAGGTGTAGGAACTGTCCTTGATGTGTTCATCTCTTCCTTTCACATCCATCAGGTATAGGAACTGTCCTTGATGTGTTCATCTCTTCCTTTCACATCCATCAGGTGTAGGAACTGTCCTTGATGTGTTCATCTCTTCCTTTCACATCCATCAGGTGTAGGAACTGTCCTTGATGTGTTCATCTCTTCCTTTCACATCCATCAGGTGTAGGAACTGTCCTTGATGTGTTCATCTCTTCCTTTCACATCCATCAGGTGTAGGAACTGTCCTTGATGTGTTCATCTCTTCCTTTCACATCCATCAGGTATAGGAACTGTCCTTGATGTGTTCATCTCTTCCTTTCACATCCATCAGGTGTAGGAACTGTCCTTGATGTGTTCATCTCTTCCTTTCACATCCATCAGGTATAGGAACTGTCCTTGATGTGTTCATCTCTTCCTTTCACATCAGGTGTAGGAACTGTCAGGTGTAGGAACTGTCCTTGATGTGTTCATCTCTTCCTTTCACATCCATCAGGTGTAGGAACTGTCCTTGATGGTTCTCTTCCTTTCACTCCATCCCTTGATGTGTTCATCTGTCCTTTCATCCATCAGGTGTAGTCCTTGTGTGTTCATCTCTTCCTTTCACATCCATCAGGTGTATCAGGTGTTCATCCATCAGGTGTAGGACTGTCCTTGATGTGTTCATCTCTTCCTTTCACATCCATCAGGTGTAGGAACTGTCCTTGATGTGTTCATCTCTTCCTTTCACATCCATCAGGTATAGGAACTGTCCTTGATGTGTTCATCTCTTCCTTTCACATCCATCAGGTGTAGGAACTGTCCTTGATGTGTTCATCTCTTCCTTTCACATCCATCAGGTGTAGGAACTGTCCTTGATGTGTTCATCTCTTCCTTTCACATCCATCAGGTGTAGGAACTGTCCTTGATGTGTTCATCTCTTCCTTCACATCCATCAGGTATAGGAACTGTCCTTGATGTGTTCATCTCTTCCTTTCACATCCATCAGGTGTAGGAACTGTCCTTGATGTGTTCATCTCTTCCTTTCACATCCATCAGGTGTAGGAACTGTCCTTGATGTGTTCATCTCTTCCTTTCACATCCATCAGGTGTAGGAACTGTCCTTGATGTGTTCATCTCTTCCTTTCACATCCATCAGGTGTAGGAACTGTCCTTGATGGAGGAACTGTCCTTGATGTGTTCATCTCTTCCTTTCACATCCATCAGGTGTAGGAACTGTCCTTGATGTGTTCATCTCTTCCTTTCACATCCATCAGGTGTAGGAACTGTCCTTGATGTGTTCATCTCTTCCTTTCACATCCATCAGGTGTAGGAACTGTCCTTGATGTGTTCATCTCTTCCTTTCACATCCATCAGGTGTAGGAACTGTCCTTGATGTGTTCATCTCTTCCTTTCACATCCATCAGGTGTAGGAACTGTCCTTGATGTGTTCATCTCTTCCTTTCACATCCATCAGGTGTGGAACTGTCCTTGATGTGTTCATCTCTTCCTTTCACATCCATCAGGTATAGGAACTGTCCTTGATGTGTTCATCTCTTCCTTTCACATCCATCAGGTGTAGGAACTGTCCTTGATGTGTTCATCTCTTCCTTTCACATCCATCAGGTGTAGGAACTGTCCTTGATGTGTTCATCTCTTCCTTTCTCATCCATCAGGTATAGGAACTGTCCTTGATTGGTTCATCTCTTCCTTTCACATCCATCAGGTATAGGAACTGTCCTTGATGTGTTCATCTCTTCCTTTCAAAAACTATTTTTGTGTTTCGCGTTACCGGATAGTTCATTTCTATGTGTCCTATCAGGTTTGGAATAAAGGTTTGGTACTAAACTAGCGTCCAAAAGAAACGCCACCAAACAGTTTTCTTCACTCAACCACAACAAAAGCAAATTATGGTAACAAGAAGTGTTGTATTGTAAAACACAATCATTCAGCAACAGTTCTTGAAACGTTTCAGTTAGAAAAACGAAACAGTTCGTGTTCTGAAGGCACATGGATGACACAGGGGTGCAGTGTCCAGTATTCGATCGCCAACGCTGATTCGTCTTTAAGGTCTTAAACTGTCCTGAACAACACAGATGATTCAGTATCATGTGTGGCCACCCCTAGCAGTGATGCAGGCTCTAACGCGGCGTCGAACTGAGTATGTGAGCCTTCTGACGTCATCATTAGGGATTCGGCGCCATTCCTCTTGCAGGGCAACTGCCAAAGCGTCCCTAGTCAATGGCGGCTGTTGACGTTTCCGAATACGTTGCCCCAGTTGGTCCCAGAGGTGTTCGATTGGAGACAGATCGGGTGATCTCGCTGGCCACTGTAGCAGGTTGACGTTGTTAGTGTTGAGGAAGTCACTAGTGATCCGAGCTGTGTGAGGTGTGGCGTTGTCCTGTTGAAACAGAGTCCTTGGGTGACGTTGCAGATAAGGCAGCACCACAGGCCGTAACGACGTGCGGTGAGATTACCGTTGATGATGCCGAGATCTATCTTCTGGTTCACACAAATTCCGCCCCAGACCATAACGCTTTCACCGCCGTCTTGCTCCACTTCTTGGATGCAAGCAGGTGCCGTCCGTTCGCCCCGACGTCGGTGGATTCGAACACGACCATCAGATTTGAAGAGCTGGAACCTGCTCTCGTCACTGAAGAGCACTCTTCGCCAGTTTCGCTGCTGCCACTGCATTACGGTCCTGGCCCACCTCAATCTGGCACGTCGGTGTCGGAGCGTTAACGTCATGCCTTGAAACGTCGATAGGCACGAATACCATGCTGACTGCATGTCCAAGGCTATTGGCGCTTGATGACGTCACAGTGAGGTGGCGGTTTCTCAGATGAAGCACCCGTAAATATCGATCTTCCCGTGGGGTCGTGACCTTGGGTCTGCCACTCCTGGGTCTGTCAGCAGTGCTGCCAGTCTGTCTGTGACGTTTGACAAGTCTGGCGGTGGTGGACTTGCAGCATCCCATGATCCTAGCCACATGCTCCTGTGTTGCGCCCATCTGAAGCATACCAATTTCTTTCCCTCTGTTCTTTGGTCAATCGAGGCATGTTGGCTGCTTTCAATCGTGTCACATGATGAGAGAGAACAAATCTAGTCAGGTTTTATACCCTCATGTCATACGGTTAACTTTGTGCATAATTTCCATTTTTTCTGTGCGAATTCATTTAACTCACCAATCATCAAAATCTCGTGCACTTGTTCACTGGGAATAGACAGGTTGTGTTCGAGGGATGTGTTTTCAGCCGTTTTTCAGCAGATTGGCAATTATTTTGACAATTTATGATAATTTTTATTTTGGTGGCGTTTCTTTTGGACGCTAGTTTATGTCCATAGGCGAGATCAGAAATGGAAAGTGAAGCAGTGAAGGAAGGCATTAGATCTTCATCGTCTAAAATAAGTTCTCTATTTTCTCCATGTTTAGAGAGCCACGTGACAGTAAGATGGCGAATATTTGTTTCTGGCAATTATGACCCAGCAAGTTTCTGATCTGCCAACCGAACGCTAGGCATTACAACAATACAGATAATGGAAGTTAATTAAGCTCGTTCCAGAAGTAATTATTTTTAGAGGAATGCAAGCCTTTCTTTTCTAGTGAGTGAGTTTTATTTTATGCCGCTTTTCATTACATCACGGTGTTTCTGCTTAGCGTCAACTGCCTCCATGGTGTAGTGGTTAGAGCGTCGCGGGTTCGATGAACGACCGCGTCATACCAAAAGACGTTAAAATATGGTACGTGTTGGTCCCTGCCTGGCGCTCGGCATTAAAGGGTACAACAAGGACTGGTCGGCTCGGAGTCAGTATAATGTGTCTGAGTGGGGTATTCATGCTTCACTGCGGCATTGTATCTCAGTGAGCTAGCACTATAAAAACCAGCTTCAGTCTGGGCTAGTACAAGCAGCCGCACATACACATACACACGCATGCACGTCGTCATATGAGCGAAATATTCTCAAGTACGACGTTAAACCCAATTTCACCTCACCTCACCTCTACTTAGTTTCGGGGGAAAGCCTTAATTACAGGCATGTAGTGTAACCCTTCCTTTACAGGTATGTAGTGATGGGGGTAAACTCCTGGCTATCTGAGCCAGGGAAGGATGCAGAGAACTAATGTGTCACGTGATCAACAAAGGGACGCAATCCACAATGACATTTATCTACGCAGACGCCGCGTGGTCGTCATCTACGGTGAGATCTCATCAGGGAAGGCATATTTCGCGAAAGAGGTAACAAATACTTTTGTCCAAATCCATTTCACCTTTGATAATCCTTGATAATGTATTGTGTGTCGAATTTATTATGATCAATACCCACGATCCCAGTTAGCCTCGTTTTCGAATTGACGGTACCACCACTTTCTCCTTTACTTACTTACACATTAGTTCTAGACCGCCTCCGTGGTGTAGTGGTTAGAGTGTCCGCCCGGAGAGCGGAAGGTCGCGGGTTCGATCCCCGACTGCGTCATACCAAAAGACGTTAAAATATGGTACTTGTTGGTCCCTGCCTGGCGCTCGGCATTAATGGGTACAACAAGGACTGGTCGGTTCGGAGTCAGTATAATGTGTCCGAGTGGGATATTTATGCTTCACTGCGGCGTGGCATCTCAGTGGGCTAGCACTATAAAACCAGCTTCAGTCTGGGCTAGTACAAGCCGCCGCACATACACATACACTCGCATGCACGTCGTCATATGAGCGAAATATTCTCAAGTACGACGTTAAACCCGTTTCACCTCACCGCACCTCTGCTTAGTGTCGGGGGAAATCCTTAATTACAGGTATGTAGTGTAACCCTTCCTTTACAGGTATGTAGTGATGGGGTAAACTCCTGGCTATCTGGGCCAGGGAAGGATGCAGAGAACTAACGGGTCACGTGATCAACAAAGGGACGCAATCCACAATGACATTTATCTACGCAGACGCCGCGTGGTCGTCATCTACGGTGAGATCTCATCAGGGAAGGCATATTTCGCGAAAGAGGTAACACATACTTTTGTCCAAATCCATTTCACCTTTGATAATCCTTGATAATGTATTGTGTGTCGAATTTATTATGATCAATACCCACGATCCCAGTTAGCCTCGTTTTCGAATTGACGGTACCACCACTTTCTCCTTTACTTACTTACACATTAGTTCTAGACTACCTCCGTGGTGTAGTGATGTGGGTTCCGCCCGAGAGCGGAAGGTCGCGGGTTCCATCCCCGACCGCGTCATACCAAAGACGTTAAAATATGCTACTTGTTGGTCCCTGTGGCGCTCGGCATTAATGGGTACATCAAGGACTGGTCGGCTCGAGTCAGTATAAAGTGTCCGATCATGGGCACTGCGGCGTGGTCTCAGTGGGCTAGCACTATAAAACCATCATCAGTCTGGGCTAGTACAAACCGCCGCACATACACATACACACGCATACACGTCGTCATATGAACGAAATATTCTCAAACACGACGTAAAACCCAATTTCACCTCACCTCACACATTAGTTCTTATGTTCATGTGAGTTATTTGATTGGTTATCAGGGTCGCCTGTTTAGAAACGTACTCATGACGAAGCATACGCAAACGTTTGTGTTTGTTTATTTGTTATTTGCGCCACACTCAGCAATACTCCAACCTAACAACAGCGGTGAGTACATAATTGGGTCTACACCAGTCAATCAAGTGATTGACATCATGAGCATCGATCGACGGGAAATGATGACAGTGAGCCTGACCACCGTATCCCGTTAGCCGCTTCTTTACGACACAGCGGGCGTTGGGGTACCCTAGTGGTTAAGGCGTTTGCTCGTCACGCTGAAGACCCGGGTTCGACTCCCCATATAGGTACAATGTGTGCAGCCGATGTCTGTGTAATCCACCGTGATATTGCTGGAATATTCCTTAGAGCGGCGTAAAACCATTATCACTCACTCACTTTACGACAAGCAGTGGCTGCTGAAGACCAGGGTTTCGTTGTTCAAAACAACCTTAGCTAAGGTCAACTTTAAACACTAAGGTTAGAGTTACGATCACCGTAAGAGAAAGTTACGCCCGTTGCACAAAACAACCTAAGGGCAACCTTAACTCGGACTCGAACCTTAGCCGTAACCTTAACTAAGGCTGAACTCTTCAGCGCTGGAGTTACGGAAGCGTCCCTAGTTACCACGTGAATTACCTCCCCTGCTCGCACCTGCAGACGACAGCAATGTCAATGTCCGAGCGGAAGCGTAACCGGCACTTTTCTCCTTCCGAAATATGTTTGATAGCTGACGAGGTGAAGGCGCGACAGAGTGAATTGTTCGGCCCGTTTTCGCCCACAGTCACCAAAACGGCCAAAATGCTTTTTCAGTTTTTGTTTATTAAAAGAGTGAAGAAAAGATCTTACCGAAGAGAGCTGTCACAAATAACCTGGACATTCACGGCGTGGTAGCCCTTCCGGCAAACAAACGCTGCTTCCTCGGCAATAGGGGGTCTTTTTATTGGGATCAAAGTCCCTGTCAACCGCTCCAAGGAGCCCAGTTCTAAACGGAATATTCACAGGAAGTATTATGTTGACAGAACCGAGATACACTGTTACTCCAAGATGCCTTTGTTGGTGTCCCCGTCTAAGAAGTGACACCCAATTGTGTAACCGTTTACGAAGTACAAGATTGAACATTGGCGATAGGATTGGTTTGTTGGTCTGTTGTTAAACGCCACTCTCAGCAATATTGCAGTTATATTGCGGCGGTCTGTAAATAATCGAATCTGGACCAGACAATCCAGTGATTAACATATCACGAGCATCGATCTACGCAATTGGGAACCGTTGACATGTGTCAACCAAGTCAGCAAGCCTGACCACCATTAGTCGCCTCTTACGACAAGCATGGGTTACCGAAGACCAATTTTAACCCGGATCTTCACTGGTCGCGATAGGAAGAGACCAAATATAGTCATCAGTTTCGGGATTGATCGTAACTGTACGGCAACTGCAAATTAACAGTCGGTGCTCGGTCGCACCAGTTTCGGCAACAAATATTTGCGATAGCCTGTTTTGTTCACAGGACTAACATTTCCATTAAAACATTTAAAGTTGGTGTCCAAATCGGTTCATCCTTTTGTAATATTATGTACCTGTCATTTTAATGTCGTGTCCATAAAAGTCTTGTGTCGAAACCCTGGATTCTTAACTAGTGGTTACGCGTTGGTACGATCCCAAAGACCCGGGTTCGATTCCCCAGATGGGTACAATGTGTGAAGCTCTATTTCTCGCGTCCCCGTCCGTGATATCGCTAGAATATTGCTAAAACAGGGCGGAAACTATATTCACTCACTTACTTATGCTGCCGAGAAAGAATGAGTAAATTGAGTTTTGCGCCGCTTTTAGCAAAATTCCAACAATATTACGGCGGGGGACACGAGCGACAAAGAAGGCGATTCTGAACACATGTCCATCGAAGCTTCTATTCAAGGACGCATCTATTAATACATTTGAAATCATGATTTTGTTTGAATATTTGAAACAGGGCAAACAAATTATGAAATATGACCATATCACTTTTAGTATAAGATCGAATCCTAAACAGAGAATACTATTCATTTTTCAAACGTTTTCATATTAACGTCTAAGTATCAGTTCCTAAAGAAAATTATACAAAGACAATGGCTCACGTTGACATAAATGGCTCCTTGTTTCAGAGGGGCGGTGGGGTAGCCTAGTGGTTAAAGCGTTCGCTCGTCATGCCGAGGACCCGGGTTCGATTCCCAGAGGGGTACAATGTGTTAAGTCTATTTCTGGTGTGATATTGTTGGAATATTGCTGAAATCGGCGTAAAACCAACTCACTCACTCACTCTTGTTTTAGGTAATTCGAGTTCTGAAGAGCACCTGCAATAGCGGCGCGGACGAGGTTCTCTATGACGTCACCATCCGTTGCTCTGGAATTACAACATGGAGGCACCTTCTGGTTTCACTGGCTACTGCACTGGGCCACGAAACACGGGACGATCTTTCAGACCGTGACATATTCGCAGCATTAGGAACTCTTTCCAAAGTCACACCATGCCTACGAGTAGTTGTTCTCTTGACCAAGTTTGAAACGATTGTAGACAAGCAGGACATGTTTCAAAAGACTGTTTCGTTCCTGCAGCGACTCATAGAAGATACTGCGGTTGTCACCGTCATCATGACGTCACGTGTGTTTGTGCGCATCTCATCCACGCTCCAACCACTAGTTTGCAAACTGTCTCCTTTGAGTGAATCGACCTGTTGTCGACTTTTGTCACCCGTGTTTCATCCGAATCTCACACGACAGACGGTGGTGGACATTATCAGGGCGTGTGACTACAGACCTGGTTTAATTCTTCAGGTATGTTCTCTTGTAGAATCGCACGGGGATCTCCTGAGCCTTGAGGAACTTGCTGAACGCTTAAGCTGCCCTGGGGATGCTTTGTCTCTGTTTTCCCAGTATCCCAACCCAATGGACAACCTAGAACATGCGGTTGGTCTCCAGCTTGCTCGTCTTCCTCCTCGTCTTAAATCTGAGGCCGTGTCACTGTGTCGACTTGAGGGGTATTTCGGCGCAGTGGAAGCAGCGTCTCTGTTGGGCAGTTCCAGCGTTGCTGATTATAAGCTTCATACGGCAGTGCCGCTTCGGGAAAATGTCATACTTGACGTTGACGTCAGTTTGAAACGGATGAAGATCGACATTTTCGTCCGTGCATTTGTTAACAAAGATATTCCCCATGTCAGTCACCACGATCCACACCGGAAGCCAATAGCTGACTTTCTGGGTGAAATGCTACTGCTCATGCGTCAAGAAGGGTCAGTCCGTACTAATGGTAGAGTGCTAGGTTTTCCTCATGACAACTTCCGGTCACTGGAGACGACCTTGACCCAGGCTGTGAACACTTCCGGAGAGAACACCTACAGCGTCTATCTACAGGTAAGTTTTGTTTGTTTATTGGTAAACGTTGCACACAGTAATATTTAAGCTCAGTAATGGCGGTCTGAAAATAATCAAGCAATGTCCAGACAATCCAGTCTTGGACATCAACAGCTTTGTTCAACGTAATTGCGATGTGATTACATATATCAACCAAGTCAGCTAACCTGACCACCCGATCCCGTGAGTCGCCTCTAACGTCAAGCATGGGTTGTTGAAGACCAATTCTAATCCGGATGTTCACGGACGAGTTCATAAGACAAATCAGCATTTGATATTATGAGGACAGTTCTACTGAATTTGCATATTCAGAAAAGGGAATCGAGTGACACTTTAAGAGTTTGAAATAATGCATTAACCATAAATAGACATTGAATACTGAATCTAAGCCAGGAAACCATATAACAAATTAGCAAAAGATAATTATGGGCATACTGACAGTATGTACCATTGCTAAATAAACTAACGTAAGCCAAAGTGTAGTTATATACCGTGCCTTACTATTGTGACGTAACATGCTCACTGATATTGACGTCATAGATTACAATTAAAGCATCCCATTTCTAGTATGTTTTATGACAACTGTGTTGTCACATATACTTTTCATATTGTAACTCCAACTCTGATTCAATCAGTGGTGGACATTAGCATTTGAAACCTCTGATTGATCAGCTACCATCATATATTTATAAAACTCATGGCAGAAACGCAGTTTGATGTGTGTATGGATTTTGATTTCTAACCAGCAGCTAGTTTTGCTTGTATTAATGGTACCCCTCTGCTGCCCCCAGGTTGTGCTGCTGGAGGAGGGAACGCTGTCAGCGCTCTGCCCTGGTAGATCCCAGCTCTTCTATTCGGGGATGGCGGAGGCGTCTGGTAGAGTGGGCACTATCAGGCAGCAGCTGCTACTGCGGGGATTTTGGGCCGTTTCTCTGAAAGGTTAGCAGGTGTTGTTTTACTGTGAAAGACTATGAATGAATTGGCGTGATTGCATATCCTGAATGACACGTCCGATTCTCTGCCCATGGTTGTGAAAAATTGTGGCCATCGTTGACATTTTTGTTGAGCCAATTTGAAGTGCCTCAAAATAGTCTGAAGAAGCGATTTAGTAAGTTGCACGTAATTCTAAAAACATTTTCAGTTATAATATATCTTTGACATGTTATTAAATCTGCAGTGTCTAAGGATGTCAACAGTCACTAAACTGTATATAAGTAAATACTGTTGTTTCACGGTGGTTTAAACAATAGAACACTTAAGAAATAGTTACTTAGTGGTGACGTATTTGATGCAGGTGTCATAGATGTGTTCAACAACGTTTGTTGTGCCTTGGGGACTTCATCAGCCTAGCAACGACGTTTGCAGCGAATTTGAACCCTGGTGCAAGAACAAACGTCAGTACATCACAGCGATTTAAATCACCTCGCTACCTGTGACCCGTCCCATTGTTGTAATGAACATTTGTCATTGAACCAAAGCATTTATACATGACATGAGCTCATGACATGAAACATGTATTTCATACCCCAATCATCTAAGTATGCAAATTAGATAACCGGAAGTGTTTTTCGCAGGAGCACGTGAAAGCTATATATAACTGAAACTATAAAAGAGACATAAACAAATGACACAGAATAGATACAAACATTCAATTATTCTGCAAATCTCCGTCAAAGTATTACTTGTTACATAATCCGAGCAACTATACACAAAGAACTTGACATATCTTAATATTGAATGAGCCCCGATCTTAACCCTTTGGGGCATATCTTTGACATGATTGGTCGTCGTTTGCAACAAAGGGATCCTCCTGTACAGAACCTTGCCCAATTCCAAGCTGCTTTACACGGGAATGGCGTAGACTGTCCCTTCAGAGGATCAGGAGGCTGACAGGGGGTATGAGGAGGAGAGTGCTGGCTGTCATACAGTCACATGTAGGTTACACTCGGTATTGACCTTGAATCGTGTAAGACACGCAAAATGACACTTTGAATGTTCACATTCACCAATAAATCCAACATTAAACATTCCAGGGCCATACTTGTACAAACACTGTTTTGTATGTAAATCGATGTCTTTTTAAAATGAGCAATTATCATCATAAAATCAACATGGATTCCAATAAGTTTGTCGTTTTTTATGAGTCAAAGGATCATACGGGCCAGAAAAACTCCATCGTGGTCACCACGAGAAGTTTTATGTACCTGTTGAAAACCTATCATTGCAAATATACAGGAGGTGCTTAGTTCTTTGTGTATGTCAAAGATGAGTTAACAGGGTGTCACTTTGGGTTCACACGGCAATGGGAGGAAACATGTATGACTGCGCTGGACGTCAAATTTCTAATGTAAATGATGAAGTATTTGTGTCCTAACAAGAAATCAGTCTAAATAAAACTCTGCGAGAAATATCAACCTCGCCCATTTAAGGCATTTTTAAGTCTTGGCAAATACCGACTAACACTCAGTTGATGTTTCCGATACAAAACATGACTCGTGATGAATCATTTCCTATGTTATGTGCAGCAGGTTTTATCGCTAACCGTTGAGTGAATGAGTGAGTGAGTTAGCTTTTAGCAGTATTCCAGCAATACCACGGTAGGGACACCAGAAATGGGCTTCACACATTGTACCCATGTGGGGAATCGATCCTGGGCCTTCAGCGAACGCTTTAACCACTAGGCTACCCTACCGCCCCTCGCTAACCGTTGGAGTTAGTTCACCTTTGTCATTGCAATAAGTTATTTACATTTTAAGCCATTGCTAACGAAATAAATCTGTTTTATCCAGATGACGAGACACTTTTGGAGGCGATTACAACTTTGGAGACAGTCGTGTCAAAACTGAACACACCGGAAGACAGCTACTACCGTGTGATGTTTCTGCGCAGACTCGGCTGGTTCTATGTCCGGGTTGGAGACAGCGTCAAGGCCGACAGGTAAACACATCTTGTTGACAGCCAGTAATATGAAAGAATCGTGTAGTCCTTAAAGTTTTTGAGCAGTATATATCGATATTGCGTTATTTAAATACGTGTACATAATGCAGTATGTTACCAGTTTGAAGTTGACGCAAGTATCTTTACCCTGTTCAGGTATCTCGACGCATCTCTCAAAACGAACGTTACTTCAAACTACGAAACCATGGTTGTGCCCCATAGGATTCAAGCAAGGTCACATCTAGCTATTGTTCAGGGCTACCTTGGTGAGTCACACATAACCATATTCTTGGAATATCTCGGTTGGTAACATTTGTCAAAGTGAAGGGGTACGGTGAGTCACATCAAGCTATTATCCAGGGCTTTTGTGGTGGGTCACCTCACCTTAGTGAGTCAAATCTAGCTCTTGTCCAGGGCTTACTTTATGTTGTCATTGTTGTGATAAAAACATGTTGATCTGTAAAGACCTGAACGTGTCTTCCACTATCGCCTGCAGGCAACTACCCCGAGGCTGAGAGGATTCTCCGGCGCTCTATCCCTCAGGCTCACCAGCTCATGCCGGGACACCCGGTGCTTGCAGTCATGATTCAGACCATGGGCCTTACCCTAGAGAAGCGTGAGATATCTTCCCTTTTCAAGATTGCATTCCTTGTCATGGTTTAAGTATTAATGGAAAGGTTCATTACTGTATTGATGTATTGTACTGAAATATTGTGTTGTATCTTCAGTAGAGTGTCCATACATTTACAAACGTCATGAAAACTGTGCTGACAAGTTGATATTCAAAATCTCTAAGATTCCATGTGTTCTAAAAACTGTTAAATCTGTCTTCAGAGCGGATGTTCGACGAGGCATTAACCTTCTTCCTACTGTCTTGTCACGAAAGACGCAAGCTCGTGAATTACCTCCCCTTGTATCTGGTCAACAACCTCAACAATCTAGGATCCCGTTACCTGTGGAGAGGGGAATACGGTTTGTTCACGTTTTCTCTTATATAGTGCTTAAAATGCCATGGAGTGCATCTGTACTTACTTTTTATGATGTATGACAGTATATTATAACTTTCACGCCTCTTTAAATTTTATTTACACCAATGGTGCCACTTTTAGGTTGGAAAGCTCGTTGTGGTGCTTTCTGTAACAAATTAATAACAATAACCGGGGCAAATTTGCGAGTCGAACTGATCACCATTGCCTTCTAACAGGACCAAAGAATAACTGGAATTGTCGAACCATTTAGCACCAAGTCTCCTAAATATACCCTACTGCAAATGTAGTATCTCGCTCTTGTTCCTGGGAAAATGAGTAGACACTTTGGTTTCAGTTTAAAGAGGAGGTGGGGTAGCCTAGTGGTTAAAGCGTTCGCTAGTCATTCCGAAGGTCTGGGTTCGATTCGCAGAATTTGAAGCCCATTCCTGGTGTCCACTGTTGTGGTATTGTAAGAAGCGGCAGAAAACTATAGTGGCTCACTCACTCACTTCAGACCGGGCGTTGAGGTACCTGTCGGAGGCTCTAAATCTCAGGAGGAAATTAGGCTGGTGGGACTATAATACCGGAATCTCACTCTGGAACCGGGCCAATGCTTATCTCTTCAAGTAAGTAGTGCTAAACTATCTTAGAAACATGGCTCTGAACACTGCATGGGCAGCTCTTTTGGACAAGGGACTGTTGTGTGGTGTTGTGCTAATAGAGTTCGGGTTATTTGTGTTGTATTCGTTAATGACGTTATTGTCGACTCCGTACATGCACTGAAGCACACCTTCTACCGTTTCTTATCGACTGAATAGATTATGTAGATACCGGGTTTTCAGGTTGTAAGTACACTTGATGTATTTCGTTGGCCTGTACATAATGCAACAACAACACTAGCTACGCCTCAAAGGACGATACTTTAGTTACGAGTTAGTAAAGGCGCTGGTCACATATGGGCCTGCATCTGAAAGACATTCAAGAACTTACTCCAGAGTTAATATCTAGGACTATGGTGAGTGTGAAACACATCATTGTTTCAAAAGTATAAGAAGGCGATTTTAGGTCTTATTAAAAACCTTTTTCATTCATTATCTGGTTCCAGAGGTCTGTACGAGGAAGCAGTCAGATCTTGTAATCAGGCTATAGAAGTGTTTATCAGATGCATGCCGACCCATCCCACCAACGTCGACATCCGGCTGTCTCTTGCTCATGCGTACATGGCAGAAGGAAGACAACAGGAAACAGAAGCGACATTGTCAGAGATACTGGATTATGAGACGATATTCAAGACCAACATGGCAGATTGTGGATTCCTCAGCTCTCTGGAACATCTGGTGTTAATGACTTCAGATCGTGTACGTGTAGAGCGACTACACCGACGGCTGGTGAAGGAGATTCTTCGTCTCTGTGGTGTCCTAAGGAACACTGATTTCCAGATGTACCTGAAGCTGCAGAGTAAGATGGCGTCATGGCGCAGATACCTGGCCCAGTTTCTATGTGGGTCGAGGGATTATATCGGTTACATCCACTTCGACTGTCGCTGTTGTAGACATATGTCGTACACACTGTACCGCTGGTGTACATGGAGAGAGGACCCGGAGGAGGGAACCGAGGAGACTGAGATCAGCGCGTACTTTAATAGCTTTGAAATATAACAAACGATTTGGTATCTGGGTCCACAGTGTGAAGGCAAAACCACAGTTATTGAATGATTACGTATCGTAGATCATTGTTGCTTGGCTGCACAAGGAAGGCGTATCGTAGATCATTTTTGCTTGGCTGCACAAGGGAGACAACCTGTGTCCAAAGGAAGCAGGCTTTTAAGTGGACTTAGAGTTTAAAGCGGCAGACTAATAATTCAGAAACTGAAATTGAGGAGCTATGACAGGGTTGTATCAGCGTTCAAGACTCCCAAAATTCCAAGCCAGACTGCCGGACTGGTAACTTTTAAAAATTACCAGTCCGGATACAAGCGTGCCCGTCCGATTTTCAACAATAAAACAAAACAAAATAAAATCAATTATCTGAATACATTACTGCATGTATCGTAACGTTAAGGCTAAGGTACATGGCCTGGTTTACAAACTAGAAATCTGTTGCATTTTCAGCCTCACAACCACGATCAGAGAAATATCTACCGGACCACCGGACAGGCTACTTTTGAAATTTGACCGTCCGAGATGAAAATAGACCGTTCCGGACGGTCGGACAGGCGGGAATTTTAAAAGCTGGTTGTATAAATGATTTCTTTTCCGTAAACTTAAGGGTCCATATTCAGCCGTTTGTGAACAAGGGCCATATAAGAGGCCTAGTCCCAACACATCAAACTCAAGGTCTGATGTTGGAGTCTTTATCAAAGTCAAGGTCTTAAATTCCGAACTATATCAAAACTTAGCTCAGATATTACGTCTTGTGTCAAAGTATGGTTATAACACGGTCAGTGGTGTAAAAGCTCAGGTCGAGTGTTACGGTCTCTGTCAAAGCGCTTTTCCGATATTACTCTCTATTAAAGCCGAGATTTGAAAGTGTAACTCTGATATTTCTGTAAGGGTTAATATAAGACCACACCATTCTAATATGTTTACATCTATCCCTGTTTCAATTCCCAGCAGCAATGGCTTGGTGGGTGTGATGCAGGTAGGACTGGTACGAACCGGTCGTGCCAAGTATAACTCTGGCTTTGTATTGTGTCGTTGTTTTCTTGTAAATAGATCAACTGTTCACGAACGCGTTTCATTTAATCTCTTTGTTTATTGCACCGTCCTTCTTTTACAATTTATTATTTACAAGTTTTGAATTAATTTACTCACCCACACACAAGGGCTTGCGTTAACTGGTCATTTTTTGACTTGTCAAAATGTAACAAATGGCATTTCACTTTCAGAGTAACATGCAAATTCTAGTACCTCTTTGAGAGTGTAGTAGGGGCGGCGGGGTAGCCTAGTGGTTAAAGCGTTCGCTCGTCACGCCGAAAACCCGGGTTCGATTCCCCACATGGGTACAATGTGTGAAGCCCATTTCTGGTGTTCCCCGCCGTGATATTGCTGGAATATTGTTAAAAGCGGCGTAAAACCAAACTCACTCACTCACTCACTCACTCTGAGAGTGTAGTTTCACCATGACTCAATCTGAAAAAGTGGATTAAAATATTTCGATTCTACAGCGAGTCACGAAACGAAATATTATTACAAGATGTGAAATCTTTTTTCTCATGTATTTGGTGATCAACAACTTTTGCGTATTAACCCTTTTGGTTATCTATGTAGATAGAAGTCGCTTATATCAAAATATAATGAGCGGGAACCTGTGCAATATGAGGCATTTAGGCCTAATGAAAATGTTTTGAAGTCATGCTTTAGAAACTTCATTAGGATTACTTACAGTGTTCAATAAAATAGTTGTTTTTTTGTTGATTCGTTTTTAATATGTCATAAACTCAATGATTCAAACATATCTGAATGATTCAAATACGTACACATTATGTTGGCGTATTCCCTGTATATTACACCTGTAATCAGTCTGCGTGGCACAGTGGAGTGAGTCCCTGCACGAAGAGCGCTAAGTCTGTGTTTGGATCCGTGGCCGCGTCAGAGAAGCTGCCGCAAACGTAACTAATGATGCTCCCTATGAATAGGTTTTTGTGACTGTAAAGAACTACAGACTGTCCCATACAGATTTACTCTCAGACACAATATACTCCGAGCCGACCAGTCCACGTTCTATTCTGTGAATACCCAGCGCCAGGAAGGGTAGTAACAAGGACCACCTCAAACGTCTTTTGGTATACCGCGACCAGGGAATTGAACACAGAACTTTCCGCTTGCCAGACGCACACTCCACTTGATCCACATCTCCTGCAGTTCCTAGAACGCTTGTTACGTGGAATATCCGCCCTGAGTATTTCCTAGAAGCGAGGAGATCCGGTCAGTGTGTTCCGCTCCAGACACAATACAACAAGCCCCTGTATCCTGATTGTATTTCTCTGTATGGTGACATAATCCCCACATATTACATCCTTATATATGTTACACACTCGCACACACGAACACATACATACATACATGCATATTTTAGTTAGAATAGAGTCCTGATAATATATTTGGGGACATTATGTTCTTAAAAGGGAGGGTGGGGTAGCCTAGTGGTTATCTCGTCTCGCTGAGGACCTGGGTTCTATTTCCGACATGGGTAAAATGTGTGAAGCCCATTTCTGGTGTCCCCAGCCGAGATGGTGCTGGACTATTGCTAAAGACGGCGTAAAACCAAACTCACTCACTCACTTTTTTAAGGGAAACTTTATCCAGGCGCATACAAAATCTATACTTCGACGAAATAACAAAATTTCAATAGTATTGATTATCTGGTCTACAAATATTTGACTATGTATCAATGTATGGGAAACTAGTAAGAAACACATAGTCAGACCACTTATAGGAAATGACGTCATTTCAAAGATCAATCAAACGGAATGACTGCAGGGCTTCCCAACAGACCGGCCAACGTACATGTGAGGTGAGATGAGGTGAAATTGGGTTTAACGTCGTACTTGAGAATATTTCGCTCATATGACGACGTGAATGCATGTGTATGTGTATGTGCGGCTGCTTGTACTAGCCCCGACTGAAGCTGGTTTAATAGTGCTAGCCCACTGAGATACCATGCCGCAGTGAAGAATGAATACTCCACTCAGACACATTATACTGACTCCGAGCTGACCAGTCCTTGTTGTACCCATTAATGCCGAGCGCCAGGCAGGGACCAACAAGTACCATATTTTAACGTCTTTTGGTATGACGCGGTCGGGGATCGAACCCGCGACCTTCCGCTCTCCGGGCGGACGTTCTAACCACTACACCACGGAGGCGGTCCAACGTACATGTACATGCATGGTTGTCGTTACAGAATCTAGGTACACAGGTCAGTTTCTGCAAACATGATGGAGCGGGAACCTAGAAACACTAATCAAGAAAAGTATTCTGACGGCGTGCATTTGCAGGAATCATTCCAGGTTTCTGACGCCATGTATAACCTGCTTAACCATTAACTGCACATGTAAGCTGGCCCACCCTTCTTATACAGGTACACTGGAGTCATGAAACCAATATTTACAAGAGCCCTAAATGTCGACGTTACAGACAGTTCAAAACTATTTTTGACAGTGAATTATGTTTATCTATTTTTGGACGTGAAAAAATATAGGCCTATTGTCAGAACTGGTCAGAGCTGAAGACACACTGGTTCACAAGTACACCTTTAATATATATACAGTTAATATTACCTCTGTCATTTCATAGAAAATGACATTTGTTCAACTTTGCATAAGGGAAGTTGGGTAGCCTAGTGGTAAAAGCGTTCGCTCTTCACGCCGAAGATCCGGATTCGATTCCCCACATGGGTACAATGTGTGAAGCCCATTGCTGGTGCTCGCCGCCGTGATATTTCTGGAATATTGCTAAAAGCTTCATAAAACTAAACTCACTCACTCATTTTTCTATGTGCACTGTGCATGTTTCAATAATTAGGGGATATTACTGTACAGTGTTTGACGAATTGGGGACGTATACCGGTGGTTATATATCGCAAATTTAGTTATATCGGCGACGCGTAAGCTGATTATACGGTCGGAAATTTATAGCATTGACCAATCAGAACTCGTGTTACATACTAAGCTGAATTAGAATTCATGTTATCATACTTGGCTAGTGGCCTTTGATATAAAAGATTCATTGGATGTTAAATCATCTATATTAGACAAAATGTATAAACAAGGAAAGTACGTACAGATCAATACTTGAAACACATATTTCCTTATGTTTTTCAGCAACCAGGAACTCATGGGGCCTCAGACAGTTTAAAGTGCTTTATCTAGACGTACTTGACGTACTGAAATAACTGGGAAGCTTGTTCTCACCCACAAAGACTCTGGATAAATTTTAATTAATTTCTCAATGATTTGTTCCGTATATGAACTTATTTGAAACATTCTGCATTCATGGGGGAAGTGAGTTAAGTTTAAAACTTTAAACATTCATTCGTCACTCAGTAAGCAAGGGTTTGATTTTAAATACAGGTGCAAAATACGGCACCTTTCTTGTGTTCGCCACGGTGGTACATTGGGTGGATTATCGCTAAGTGCAAACCAATACCAACCAAACCCAACTGTTTTGGCGAGGTCGCCATAATTTGGGGTATCGCTTATAAAGATTGAAGTTCCCCCTCTCGTGGGTGCTTTAGTGCCGGCTCAAAACTAAACAATACAACGAATGGGCTCAGCGCAGTTATCGTCATAGAATGGCGATATAACACACTGGATAATCGAGGGTGGTACCCGTCGGTGCTGGTGTAGGAGACAGACGGACAGACGGACGGACGGACAGATTTTATTCATTATGAGGCCTTCGGCCCGAAATACAGAAAATTCAGGGTTACAAAAATGTCCCTGCGCATAAAACATATTTACATACATACAGTAGCATAAAATAATATAAGTGCATGAACTAAATACATTATATATTACTTTACCTTACTTGTTGAAAAATTGAAGTTTTATTCAAAATATCATAATTATAAGAAGAAATTATAGAAATAATGTTATGTTGAGATTTAGAATTGATGTATTTACTAATAAATGTATCATGGAAAACCTATAAGATTCAGAAATTAAGAGAACACGCTATTCATTTTCATTCAAATACTTTTTTTTTGATAAACAGAGAGGACAGAGTCTTTTTCCATATGGTGTAGCTTGGCGTCTTCCAGTGTTGACAGCTATTCTAAACTTGCTGCGTCTGAAGCGTGATAAAGCCCTTTTCAAGTCGGATAGAATGCTGGAGTTGCGATCTCCATGTATGTGTGTGTTGAAAGTTATAAAAACGAACTGCATTAGCCAAAAGCACCAGACTGTGATTTAGCCTGTTACGACATCTCCATGTGCTGGATATATTACTGTATCCTGGTTTTCCCTGTGAGTCATAGCAGAATTAAGAATGAGCCCGCCCGTTCATGTCATGTGGCGTAATCGAACAGGCTTTCGGTTGTCGTAAACAGAAAAGGAGTGTTTCCATACATGAAGTCTGTCACACGAGTATGACATATCCAGCCGCGCTTCTCTTGGAGCAGAGTGATACAGTCAGAGCCTGAAGCTGAACGTGCTGCTAGTGGAGGAGAGTGTTGCTGTTCCTTGCACCTCCCCCTGGAGTAAAGGAACGGCCCGCCACTTAGCATCACGGTACGTACTCTAGACTAACGCTTAGTCTCTGAATGTATATAATTTTAATGGTAACAAGCAAATCTATTTAAATTGATAATGGGCCACAGGGAAACAAGAACCTGAGGAAATCTAAACTTGCTTCATTTAGGGCTTTAGCATGGCAGGGAGGGCTAGGTTGGATGGGAAATAATGTGGTTCAGGGACTGAGACAGACAGACTATGGGTATTCCAGTACAATCTGTGTATAAAATCTACCTATACAATGTACCTTTTTTGTTCAGCTGCTCATCAGCCTCTTACTGGTGGGACAGAGTCAGCCTTTGAAAGTACAGTACTATAAATCACATATACGAATATCTGTTTATAGGTAGTCTCTCGAATATTCAAGTACAACTTCACTTGTCAACCGAAAAGTTTCTTTGTCCGAAATGACGTCATATTTAAGATCGGTTACTATTTCACGCAAGTAGACAATAGTTTAGCTCAGTGTCACCATGCACTGTAAGCAATCGCTTCTCAGATCGGGTGTCGATACCTCTCCGTCAAGGTGAAACAGAACCAGCAACCTCAGTGTGTTTGGCCAGCAGACAGGAACGCCATGGAGACTGCTTATCAAATACATGTATCTATTTTAGTTTCCCCCACCTATCTACATTTACTACTCTGTGTACTCAGTGTGACATTGTGATTGTGTGATAGTGTGACATTGTGATTGTGTGATAGTGTGACATTGTGATTGTGTGATAGTGTGACATTGTGATTGTGTGATACATTGATTGTGTGATAGTGTGACATTGTGATTGTGTGATAGTGTGACATTGTGATTGTGTGATAATGTGTGACATTGTGATTGTGTGATAGTGTGACATTGTGATTGTGTGATAGTGTGACATTGTGTGTGATAGTGTTGTGTGATATTGTGATTAGTGTAGATTGTGATAGTGTGACATTGTGATAGTGTGATAGTGTGACATTGTGATTGTGTGATAATGTGACATTGTGATTGTGTGATAATGTGACATTGTGTGACATTGTGTGATAGTGTGACATTGTGATTGTGTGATAGTGTGACATTGTGATTGTGTGATAGTGTGACATTGTGATTGTGTGATAGTGTGACATTGTGATTGTGTGATAGTGTGACATTGTGATTGTGTGATAGTGTGACATTGTGATTGTGTGATAGTGTGACATTGTGATTGTGTGATAGTGTGACATTGTGATTGTGTGATAGTGTGATTGTGTGTGATTGTGTGTGATAGTGTGACATTGTGTGATGATGTGTGATATTGTGATTGTGTGATAGTGTGACATTGTGATTGTGTGTGTGACATTGTGATTGTGTGATAGTGTGACATTGTGATTGTGTGATAGTGTGACATTGTGATTGTGTGATAGTGTGACATTGTGATTGTGTGATGTTGTGTGATAGTGTGACATTGTGATTGTGATAGTGTGACATTGTGATTGTGTGATAGTGTGACATTGTGATTGTGTGATAGTGTGATTGTGTGATTGTGTGATATTGTGATTGTGTGATTGTTGTGATTGTGTGATAGTGTGACATTGTGATTGTGTGATAGTGTGACATTGTGATTGTGTGATAGTGTGTGTGATTGTGTGATTGTGATTGTGTGATAGTGTGACATTGTGATTGTGATAGTGTGATTGTGTGATATGTGACATTGTGATTGTGTGATAGTGTGACATTGTGATTGTGTGATAGTGTGACATTGTGATTGTGTGATAGTGTGACATTGTGATTGTGTGATAGTGTGACATTGTGATTGTGTGATATTGTGACATTGTGATTGTGTGATGTGTGATATTGTGACATTGTGATTGTGTGTGACATTGTGATAGTGTGACATTGTGATTGTGTGATAGTGTGACATTGTGATTGTGTGATAGTGTGACATTGTGATTGTGTGATAGTGTGACATTGTGATTGTGTGATAGTGTGACATTGTGATTGTGTGATAGTGTGACATTGTGATTGTGTGATAGTGTGATAGTGTGACATTGTGATTGTGTGATAGTGTGACATTGTGATTGTGTGATAGTGTGACATTGTGATGTGTGATAGTGTGACATTGTGATTGTGTGATAGTGTGACATTGTGATTGTGTGATAGTGTGACATTGTGATTGTGTGATAGTGTGATTGTGTGACATTGTGATTGTGTGTGACATTGTGATTGTGTGATAGTGTACATTGTGATTGTGTGATAGTGTGACATTGTGATTGTGATTGTGTGTGTGACATTGTGATTGTGTGATAGTGTGTGACATTGTGATAGTGTGACATTGTGATTGTGTGATAGTGTGACATTGTGATTGTGTGATAGTGTGACATTGTGATTGTGTGATAGTGTGATTGTGTGATTGTGTGACATTGTGATTGTGTGATTGTGTAGTGTGACATTGTGATTGTGTGATAGTGTGACATTGTGATTGTGTGATAGTGTGACATTGTGATTGTGTGATAGTGTGACATTGTGATTGTGTGATATTGTGATAGTGACATTGTGATTGTGTAAGAGTGTGACACTGTGATTGTGTGATAGTGTGACATAGTGATGTGTTGATAGTGTGATATTGTGATGTTGTGATTGTGTGATAGTGTGACATTGTGATTGTGTGACACTGGCATTGTGTGATTGTGTGACACTGGCACTGCGTGATAGTGTGACACTGTGATTGTGTGATGGTGTGACATTGTGATAATGTGACATTGTGATTGTGTGATAGTGTGACATTGTGATTGTGTGATAGTGTGACATTGTGATTGTGTGATAATGTGTGACATTGTGATTGTGTGATAGTGTGACATTGTGATTGTGTGATTGTGTGATTGTGTGACATATGTGATGTGTGACATTGACATGTGTGATGGTGTGACATTGCGATTATGTGATAATGGGACATTGTGATTGTGTGATAGTGCGACTTTGTGCTCGTGTGATAGTGTGAGTGAGGTGAGTTCAGTTTTACGCCGCTTTTAACGATATTCCAGTTATAGTGTGATAGTGTAACATTGTGATTGTGTGACACTGGCATTGTGTGATAGTGTGACATTGTGATTGTGTGATAGTGTGACATTGTGTGATAGTGTGACATTGTGATTGTGTGATAGTGTGACATTGTGAGTGTGTGATAGTGTGTGATATTGTGATTCAGTGTGACATTGTGTGATTGTGTGATAGTGTGACATTGTGATTGTGTGATAATGTGTGATAGTGTGACATTGTGATTGTGTGATAGTGTGACATTGTGATTGTGTGATAGTGTGTGCTCATTGTGATAGTGTGATAGTGTGACATTGTGATTGTGTGACATTGTGACATTGTGTTGATAGTGTGACATTGTGATTGTGTGATTGTGTGACATTGTGATTGTGTGATAGTGTGATTTGTGATGTGTGATTGTGTGACATTGTGATTGTGTGATAGTGTGACATTGTGATATTGTGTGATAGTGTGACATTGTGATTGTGTGACACTGGTATTGTGTGATAGTGTGACATTGTGATTGTGTGATAGTTTGACATTGTGACACTGGCATTGTGTGATAGTGTGACACTGTGATCGTGTGATAGTGTGATAGTGTGACATTGTGATCATGTTGATTATGTTGTTGTTCGAGGTTCTTTGCTTCCGGTTGGTTCCGTTTACATGCTAAAGATTGCGACCTTTCAGGATGGTAAGCTTTCACCACAAAAATGCAAAGAATTCCAATGGTCATGTGGTCAATTGGTATAACAGTGATGACTCTTGTAAGCTACATAATTGCTAGGGGTGTGCAACAAGATGCTACATTGCTTTTGAGTGGTCGGAAACAACAAAATAACAACAATATAGACAACAACAACAACAACAACAAAACCCAGACCGATGCATTATAAGACTGAAGATGACTTAAAATATGCAATATATAGCGATATCAACGTTGCTGAAGACCTGTTTCAACCCGGATCATCACGGGTCGCGATATCAAGGCGACAAATGAATATTGATATAAGGTAAAACAGTATTAAGAATCATCAGTCCAGAAATGCGTCTTAGTTACACACCTTCGTGAAAGTAATGGAATAAGCTAAGGAATCGATCACTTAGAGGTAATAAATCATCAGCACGTTGTCACAGTCTGATGTAATTTCAACAAAGGATAATGGTATCTCACAGCTCGTATAGACTCAAACACAGCAAAGTGATTGTCTCGTAGTTGACAAGTATTGTGGGAAAAGCGGTCTTCGGGTCGGTCGCTTCCAGATGTCGATAACTAGCCATCCATGTCACGATGTATTTCGTTTCGACCTTAGTTGACACCGTATTCAGCAATATTTCAGCAATATTTCAGCAATTTCAAGACGCTTTGGAAATAATCGCGTCTGGTCCAATGATTGACATCGTCGGCGACAACATACGCAACTGAAATCAGCGAGACCAGGTTTTGAAAGCGAATTGGCTGCTGAAGAATTGGAAGTCGGTTGGAAGGCCTAGGAACAGACTACGAGTAGTTGTAAAGCTTTAAAGACAAAGTTAAATCTAACCAGCCTGTTTTGCAACAAGCCTTGACATCATGACGTAATCATGGCTACATGTCAGGACAACCCGCAGACATGCCCTCCACATTGTTTAACAAATGAACTGTGCCCTATGTCACGCGCTGTATACACCCACTTTGCGTTGGCACCACGAAGGGCAACGGGGGTCAAAGACGGTCACCAAGACAAGCGTACTTCCTCATTGGGGAAACTGGAACACTTTTCATTGTTTTTGAAGAAATATTCCCTGCTCATAATAGACAGTTGTTCATCCTTGTGTAGATATGCCGCTTCCTATTTGTTGTTAGTTTCAAACACAGCTCAGGGGCGGTGGGGTAGTCTAGTGGTTAAAGCGTTCGCTCGTCAAGCCGGGTTCGATTCCCCAGATGGGAACAATGAGTGAAGCCCATTTCTGGTGTCCCCCGCCGTGATATTGCCGGAATATTGCTAACAGCGGAGTAAAACCAACTCACTCACTCAAACACAGCTCATTGATTCCACACCAAGCTCTGTAATATGAAGAACCATTATTTTTCCCTTGAACCATTTCTATGTATTACTCGAAACGCAACATTGTAAACTATCTAGCATGTTACAAAATTGTCTAGCCAACTGCCTGCTTGAGTTGGTTTCCTTGACAACATGACCTCGATAGCCTTGACCTCCAAAGATGTAATACCACACATTGTTCTGGAGGACATAGAAACAGGAATAACACATCGCAACTGAAAGTGTTTTGTTAGTGCTTCCAGACTCCTAACGTCAAGATACACGAGCATCTTTTCGTATACTTACTCTTCGCATTCAGCCATGGAAGACGTTAAGCGCATACTGTTTAAACCCAACAGAGAGGTGGACGATGAGCCAACGATGTGGTCACTGTACATTCATCACTTTGGGCTTTTCTCCTGTATAAGGCTGACCAGCCGTGATGTAACTGTATGAACATTCAAACATGGCGGGGCCCATGAAGGTCGGGTTTAGAATTGACAGACAGACAGACAGACAGACATTTTATTCAGTAATAGGCCACTGATCCAAAATACATTCATAAATATGATAAGAAGTTACATGCGTTTTACCAGGGAGACTATATAATGTTGTAGATTATCCCTGCTTTTACATAAAAACATCAGAGTCTCTTATTTTCCCAACATTATATAAAAATAGGCATAAATTATTTATAACATTTATGTTTGTTGAAGTCATTATATTTATAAAATTGTGTTGTGAAATTGGATGTTTCAAATATTTACCCAGAAAATTATTCCTTATATCTAAGTAGGCTTTACAATAAAGTAAAACATGTATTTCATCTTCAATTAAATTAAGATTATTTTTGTAGCAAAAAGGACAGAATCTTGAATAATAAGGGACATTGTTATATCTACCGGTCTCAGAACTAAGTTTAAATTTACCGCATCTAAATTTTGTTAAACAATTTCTTAAATATGGGGCAATACCTAAACTGAGATAAGTTTCAACATTCAGGAGGGACTTGAAAAATATATAATTAGAACACTTGGTTGTACTATGTAGGGATGAGTACCAATCTTGTGAAAGATTATCAGACAATCTTTGCTTAAAATTGGTTTAGAATTGGTCTTGAGCAACCCATGCGTATCGTAAGAGGTGACTATCAGGGACGGGTGGTCGCTGACTTGGTTGACGCATTTCATGCTGTTAATCACTGGATTGTCTGGTCCAGACTCGATTATTTACAGACCGCCGCCATATAGCTGGGATATTGCTGAGCGCGGCGTTAAACAACAACAAACCAACCTTGATATCTCTATATATTGCATATTTTAAGTCGTCTTCTGTATTATAATGCGTCGGCCTGAAAGAGCAATATCACGTCATGCGTTTTGTATCTGATGACGACTGCATATGTCATGTTTCAGCGTTTGACAAGATGGCAGCAGTTTATCAGCGGCTCCACGACATGTCACAGACCCACGTTTGTAACTTCCGGCCACCTAGCGGTGAGAGGGAACAACAAAGGGAGACAATTCTGAACGATCTGTATCACCGCAAATATCGTCTTGTGGTCCTGTATGGGGAAATTTTCGCTGGTAAAACCCACTTTGCCAAACAGGTAAGAAAACTGTTCCTTGTGAGAGTATTCCTGAAAGCACGTACCTGTTGTGGTCATTCTGTATCTGGAAAACGATAATAATATATGCAGAGTTGCGTCCCTTGGTCATATTAGTACCCGCTTATCACTGTTTCTATTCCTCGATGAAATTACATAATTCGTTCATATTACGATTCGTGTGTGGTTTTCACGTTCTTGCAAAACGCCAACGACGCGTTTGTTCCTCTAAATGATTAAAGAGATAATTTGAACACAAGGGTAGAAAGCATCAATTATGTTTGACAGGTGAAAAGCTGATGTTCCCAACACGCATACACAGAATGACTTTAATATGTTCTTAAGGATTTTAGAGAAATACGCGGAATACGTTGAGAACACTTGAAATCCCGAAACACCCTTAGTAGTACGAGGTGGGATGGTGGGAGTAGTCTATCGTTCAAAGCGTTCCCTCCTACAGACATGGGTACAATGTGTGAAGCCATTTCTGGTGTCCCCCTGGAATATTACTAAAAGCGGCGTAAAACTAAACTCACTCATTCATAGTGTCGAGGTCATCTGAAAACTTCGAGTGACATCATCATCCATGGCTGATTACTAATGCTGCATCAGGAACCTATGAAATATCCCCACCCCCTCCCATATGTCACCGAGGTTCCCAATATTGTATCACTCCTCCATAGACTAAAGATATGACAACCTACTTGAGACAGCCTTGTTGTTAAAGCGTTCACTCGTCACGCCGAAGACCCGGGTTCGATTCCCCACATGGGTACAATAGGTGAAACCCATTTCTGGTGTCCCCTGCCGTGATGTTGTTGGAATATTGTTAAAAGCGGTGTAAAACCATACTCACTCACTACTTAAGACAATGGAGTACCTTCCAAATATACCGATGTTTCCCCTAGCTTGTTGTAAATCCTGCATCGATTCACATTTTCCTCTGACCATAACGCTTTAACTTACTGAAATGCTCTTCAAAAAGGCGTCCAACAAAACTCACTCACTCACTTCCTCCTTTCCACATCACCCATGTTCTGCATAACGGAAGTCGATGTCAAGTGATGAATACAATTGTTCATTGTTCTTAACCTCTCCTTTACTGTTTGGCCATGTAATTGGGGTTTTCCACTATTGTCAAAATATCAGCATCATTGTCAAATATATCCAGCTTTTGTTTTTGCTATTGTGTTTAAATATGTTATACTACCTTGTAAACTTGACTAAAAGTCCACATGGTGAATTAAATATAAAAGCTTCAACAGTGAAAACTTTGAGTATTACATCTACCATAGTCTATAATGTTTAGCGAATTAATTTGTGGCGTGTTTAGAAAAAAAATCTCAACCTATCCTTCGTTATTATTCAAAATCAAGCTTCTACACGGATCAGGTACCAAAATTGATCTGCAGCAGTCTATTGTTTCAGCGGATCGTGTGTTCTTGTTCTCTTGAGACGTACACCGTTGTTCATATCTGCGTGGTTAATACCAAACCCCGTTTAAAAGGAATATTGGTGATTGCAGCGTAAAACAACAAACTGATAGAGTCAAGACTTACACAAACTCGAATCCGTGCATATTTATATGTTGCAGAGATATATATTATCTAATAATGTTCCAAGTGTAATACGTTGTACATGCAATGTTCAGTGAGGGACTGTGGAGTGCTATATTTGGACATCTATTAGATTTAGACTGGAAGATCTGGAAAGTACTGCATTGAGCTGATTCGATACAGAGTGAGTGAGTGAGTTTAGTTTTACGCCGCGCTCAGCAATATCCCAGCTATATGACGGCGGTCTGTAAAAAATCGAGTCTGGACCAGATAATCCAATGATCAACAGCATGAGCATCGTACTGCGCAATTGAGATACGGTGACATTGATTCGATACAGATTCTTGTATCGTTGTCCCGGCGTGAGAGTCTCGAAACCTCTCACTCACGAAATGAAAGAAATTGTTATCCATAAACTGTGTCAATAATGTGTTTCCCAACTTCTAAAATGTCACTTTAAGAAGTTGAGAAAACAGTTGTTAAGTATATCACATTTCTTTGTTGTTGTTTTTTTTAAGCCTAGTTCTTTTACCTACTGCTTCCCGGTGAATTTTTTAGTTTGAACTCGGGAATCAACATATCATAATATCTAGTACTTATGAATAGTCCTTTAAACATTCTTTAAACTTTTTTCACTTTGTCTTTTAAGGTAATCGATGGCTTAAAAGAGATTCAACTCAAGGCATGTGGCAATGCTCTGAATCACGTGACGGTCCGATGTCTTGGTGTGAGCACGTGGTTAGACTTCCTCAAGCGATTGGCTGATGCTCTTGGTCTCAACACTACCCTTCTGGGTCCGTCCGAGTTGAAGATTAAAGACAAAATCGGTGACCTCATTAGACATCTACCTGGCGTTGGTCTCATTCTTCTGTTTACGAACTTCGAAGATGTCTTCTCCAATGAAGCTGTCAGGCGGATGTTCAGCCTCTTTCTGAATGATGCTCTAGATTCGCACTCAGGTTTGAGCGTGCTTGTGACGTCACGGGTCAACGTTTCATTTTTGTCCCGCCATGATGCGATTCCATGCAAATTGCTTCCCATGTGCGAACGAGAATGTGTGGCTTTGTTGAATCCAGTGCGTTCACGATGCAGGTCTCTAGCCACGCTTTACAACATCGTCAGACGTTGTTGCCATCGCCCAGGACTAATCCTAAGAACTTGCCACATGTTACAACATTATTCCTCAGCCCTTACACCAGACGAAGTTGCTGAGGCTCTACAAGACCCCAAGAGCGCTCTGGATGTGTTCAGCAAGTACCCCACAGCTGATGGGTGCGTTGTTAATGCTCTTGAGGAACAGTTAGGTCGTCTAGCTCCGGAGCTAAAATCAGACACAATCACACTCTGTGGTCTTGACGGAGAGTTTGGTGTCAAAGAGGCCTCAAGACGTCTTAGAAAGGGAAACGTAATCGACTTCAAATTGAAGACAGCTTTGCCCTTGCGTGATCATAACATACTTAACTTTGATCCAGGAATGCGGCAAATTAGACTCGATCCTTTCATCCGAGCCTTTGTGGCAACCAAGTTACATGTGCCTCATCACGACTCCCGCCGGAAGTTGATGGAGGATTTACTTGGACAGATGTTGTTGCTCATGCGTTGTGATGCTTCTGTGAAAACAAAAGGGAGAGCACTCGGGTTTGCCCATGACAACTTCCGGTCTTTTGAAATGACTGTGACTCAGGCTGTTAATGCCCGTGAAGAGGAAACGTTTAATGCTTATTTTAAGGTTAGTGTTTTATCATGGTCAAGTTGTTGGAATAGAGCCCAAAATATGTCCTTAAATAGCCAGTGCTTGTTGTACGAACCGATGTGTCAGGACCGTGTTGGCAAGTGTGTGTCCAAGCTGATTGTGTGTCATTGTTCACTACAATTTGTTGTCTGGCACAGGCTGAAGATCACCGTCACATACAGGGAATATTGCTGCCAGAAATTTAAAACATCATTTACATAATCTGATAATCAGGTAGAAGCCATTGGCTTAAACCCTGCGCCATGATAGCCGTCCTTCGTATTTCAGAAAGATATGGACAATTTTCGGGTCACGTATGTGGTCGGGTACCCAGGCCTCCCGATATTTTGAATGATGCAAAAAGCGGCGTGAAAACAACCAATCAGTAGGCAATAATCTCTTCACATTACTCTGACGAGCCATGATAGAACAGGTGTCAGCCAACCTCCAATACTCACGTGACCTTGATCATTTCCTACAGGTCATTGACCAGGAGGAGTGTATGATGGCTGCAGTGTGTCCAGACAAGGCGGTCACTTTCTACAGACAGATGGCCGAGGCTGCCTGTAAGTTCGGTACTCCCAGACAGCAAGCAATTCTAGAGGGTTTCACGGCCGTGTCACTCATCGAGCAAAGAGGTGAGTCGTTTGGTGGACAAACAGATATAACCTAACGTTTCAATTTTATGCGTGAGTGAGTATGGTTTTACGTCGCTTTTAACACTATTCCAGCAATATCATGGCGTCGAACACCAGAAATTGGCTTCACACTTTTTACCCATGTGGGGAATCGAACCCGGGCCTTCGGCGTAACGAACCAACGCTTTAACCACTAGGCTACCCCACCTCCCCATACCAAGATATGTAGAGGGTGGTTCCTGCTGTTAGCTTGCTTGACGCCTGGCAATAAGCTTAGGACATGATTCCGAACATTTGTACAGTGACCAAGTGATTGAAATAGCCAGTGGTGGGCAGACATATATAGCCCTAACTTGTCAAACTGAAAGGACAATTCCCGACATTGATTCTGTGTGACGCCATTTTCTGGTTCCCTCAGTGACAGGACTACTCAATGAGAAGTAAAACCATACCCAATGACTCTAGGATTTGTTTGGAAAGCATTGTTCTAGAAGTACTGGAATCTTGTATGTTTTTGTCTCGGGGGTGTACACACAACACTATAGTTCACTGAACATGCTGAATGTTCTGGCAACAGATGTGATGAGAAGTAGGACGTAAATATACGTGACTTGCTGTTACCCTGCCTTTACTTGCTGTTACCCTGCCTTTACTTGCTGTTACCCTGCCTTTACTTGCTGTTACCCTGCCTTTACTTGCTGTTACCCTACCTTTACTTGCTGTTACCCTGCCTTTACTTGCTTTTACCCTGCCTTTACTTGCTTTACCCTGGCTTTACTTGCTGTTACCCTGCCTTTACTTGCTGTTACCCTGCCTTTACTTGCTGTTACCCTGCCTTTACTTGCTGTTACCCTGCCTTTCGCTCGGCCTTAGGGGATAAAGCCGGGTACTGGTCGGCGCAGTCAGCATATTGTAAAACCGGTATTTGTCAGGGGTAGTAAATGCAGTCCCACATACACGTGAAAGTACCTTGCGATAACAGTTAGATAATCTTGAAAGCGAAATAAACAGAAATTCAGTTATATGACGTCTGTAAATTATCTATAAATCCAGGGACTGAGCTTAAGTCTACACTGCCATACGATGCAATTCGTCACCTCCGTAACCTCCAAGAAAGAATAACACGAATGCATCCAATCCCTTTAACCGCTTCCATCAACACATGGGTTGCTGGAGGCCAATTCAAACCCCAATCCTCTCGGTGGTCCTCAGTTGTGGAGTGCTTTTGCAATATTCCAGCAATATCACGGCGGGGGACACCAGAATTGGGCTTCACACATTGTGCTGATTTGGGGAATCGAGCCCGGGTCTTCAGCGTGAGGACTAGGCTCTCCCGCCGCTCTTCCTCAGTTGTAGAACACAGAGGCATGTGTTCGGAATAAATGATCTTATTTTAGTAAGGTTCATTTGGTAAATGTATTCGCCGATCCTGTGCTCCGAAATTTGTATAAGCTTGCCCTCTATGTTCTAACTTCTAACTGAAGTTCCTTGTCCGTGACATGACGATTTTAATGTATTTGTTTCACCTCGATAGGGGACCAACTTTCTTTAGGAGTGTCATTGGTGACTGAAGCATTGCAAAAGCTGACTGTCGGAGAGGACAATTACCATCGTGTTGTGCTCATGCGCAGACTTGGATGGATGCAAGTGCGGCTTGGCAATAATGAAGAGGCCAAAAGGTTAGATCTGCAGTAGCCTCTGGTACAGGAGACGTGCGATGTCATCGTATCCCCATTGCGTAGATCGATGCTCATGTTGTCAGTCACTGGATTGTCTGGTCCAGACTCGATTGTTTACAAACCGCCGCCATATAGCTGGAATATTGCTGAGTGCGGCACCAACAATACGTTCTGCGTACCTGTTGGCAAAGCGCTGTGGAAAGTTCTTTTACGAATTTGACTGTAAGTTGTGTCAGTTACCTCTTGGCCGGTAACAGGCAGAACACCAATAGCTTCCTACCTTGAGGAAAGAGTGAGCCACCTAGGGCCCGTCCCAGAAGCGTCTCTTTGATGTGATTGAATACTTAAGAGCTACTTTATCCTGTAGCAAGTCAGTCCTGACCTGATCACGCTTGTCTAAAGAAAAATGCTTTTGTATATTTGTCTCTTAATATTGTGATGTTTTAATATATTTTTTCGGTTTAGTTTAAAAAAAAAGATTTTTTTCAAAGTACAATAAAGCACGGAAAGCTAAAACTTGTTATGACTAAAGTAAATATATACTTGCAGAGTGGATCATCATCATCATAATCATCCTTTGTACTTTCTCGAATACATTGCACGAGTTGTCTTCAAATATATATAGGGGCGACGGGGTAGCCTAGCGGTTAATTCGTTCGCTCGTCCCGCTGAAGACCCGGGTTCGATCCCCCATCTAAACTCACTCCAATAAATGTGAATGTTTGCCATCATAATAAGGATGAAGTGTCCAGTAACTGTTTCTTCATTATTTATGTGAGCTACAGTACCTCGTATTTTCACAGTGTAGTCAAGTGAGTGAGTGAGTTTAGTTTTACACCACTTTTAGCAATATTCCAGCTTTATCACTGCGGAGGACACCAGAAATGAGCCTCACACATTGTACCCATGAATCGAACCCGGGTCTTCGGCGTGATGAGCGAACGCTTGAACCACCGGGCTGTACTCAAGAAATGTAAGAGGTTAGCAGTGTTTGCGCTAATGCCAATTTGAAACGTAACGTTGTGTCTTTTTAAAATTTTTTTTCGCTTTTCAGGCGACTGACCGAGGCACTAAAGACCCCTGTCCCTACTGAACTTAATGAAAGGGTGGAACCTCATCGGATTCAGATTCTGTCCCACCTCGCTATCGTCAACAGCTACTTAGGTACGTTACGTCATCACGCCACCTCAACACCAACGGAGAAACAACTGAACACATTGACCAAAATAACTTTTAACACCACGGTGTCTCTACCTCAACACCCCAATATATCCAACGCCATGGCCATGATGGCTATGCAGAGGGATCGAATCCCGATCGCCTAGTTTGTTTCTTGGTTTGTCCGGGCCATACCTGAGCACCAAAAACAGCAAACGTCTGAGACTGGCATGACTTCGGGTTTCCTTCCCACACGAAGCCGTGACGGCTAACATGCCTTGTAATTGGTATACTCTTCGAAACGGCGTTAAACCAGACTCATTCACTCTCACTATAACTACTTGTAACAGCATCCCGCAAGCTTCATGTGCTCGTTATCTCACTGGTTTGCTTGGTCCAGACTCGACATCCAATACACGACGCCGTGATTTGCCTTAAGTATTGTTGGCTGTTGTAGTAGCATACCAATGAGTGAGTGAGTTTAGTTTTACGCCACACTCAGCAATATCCCAGCTATATGGCGGCGGTCTGTAACTAATCGAGTCTGGACCAGACAATTCAGTGATCAACAGCATGAGCATCGATCTGCGCAATTGGGAACCGATGACATGTGTCAACCAGGTCAGCGAGCCTGACCACCCGATCCCGTTAGTCGCCTCTTACGACAAGCATTGTCGCCTTTTGTGGCAAGCATGGGTTGCTGAAGACCTATTCTACCCCGGATCTTCACGGGTTAGCATACCAATGAATGAACTGATGTGATATAATATATCTATATATGCAAATGGGATTACAGCAGAAACTACTTCCAAACTCTATGCAAGATACAATGCCGTGTTTCTCAATACACATTGACTGGGTTTAGGGCATACACTACAAGTCACCTGTTTCTGTCATACATATACCTGTATCTTCAACGGCATATGATAACTTTGGCAGACCAGTCAATCACTGAATGCATACCCAGGTTCTAAAACTCTGTCATCGAGCGAAATCAAGACTAGTAAAGATCGCCTATCGTATTAATGACATTATAGGATGACGTGATTATAACCATTATTCTAAATACCAAATAGAAATATGTACAATATATATATATATATATATATATATATATATATATATATATATATATATATATATATATATATATGCATATATATATATGCATATATATATATATATGCATATATAATATGCTTGTTTAAATTCGCATAATACATTCTTATATTCCTTATGTTTGATATTTATCACGCAGAAACACACTTCCTTATCAATCTCTATTCGACAGGTAAGATTTCATGTGGTATGCTAGCTGTCGCTCGAGAATTACAATAATTCTGACACTGGTTTCGTAAAGTCAACATGACCATCATGCTCGTATAATATCTTACGTGTAGTATCTTTATCACTGCGCGGAGAATTATCTAGATAAGCATGATAACATCAGATATGTCAGTAATGGCACGTGGACCTTTTTGGTCTAGTCCTATTTAACTGGTGTGCTTGTCCTACAATACAGGCAACTACCCCGAGACTGAGAGGATACTTCGGCGCACTATCCCCAGGGCTAACCAGGTCATGCCGGGACACCCGGTGCTTGCAGTGCTTATACAGACCATGGGCGTCAACTTCGATAGGCGTACGTATATGAAGATATGTGTATCAAACAACCATTAATCTCGAAACCAAACATTGTCACAAAAGGTTCTGGTTTTCTTTGCTCTTGTGAAAGAATGAATCAGATGCTGTAATCAATTACTCACTGCTTCCATCAAATCTTGAAAAACCCACGCTTTTTCTTTTAAGGTTTGTATAAGTCATTTTCGGTTTTAATCGTCGTCGTCATCATAATTTTTTTTAGTCTGTAACATATATTACGGATATTTTGTAGTCATTATTGTCGTCATCATCATGATCATCGTCGCTGTCGTCATTATTGTTGTCAACGTCAGTAACGGCATCAACGTCATTTTTGTCGTCTGTAACGTGTATTACGAATAATCGTATTCATTATCTCCTCCTCATCAGGGTCAAGGTCATCGTCATCGTCGTCATTAATGTCGTCATCGTCATCAACATCGTCATGTTTGTCGTCTGTAACGTATGTTATGAATGTATTCATTATGGCATCATCCTCGTCATCAGGGTCACGGTCATCGTCATTATCGTCATTATCATCATTATTGACCTGTAACGTATTGTATGAATATTCGTATCAATTATTGTCGTCGTCGTCATCGTCAGCATCATCATAATCAATGATTATACAAGGTACTATGTGTACAGAGTGCCAGCTGGACAAGGCGTTGGTGTACTACAAGATGTCCTGTCATGAACGGAGGAAGCTGGCCTCCACACTGCCCACGTACCTCGTCACCAACCTCAACAACCTCGCCTCCAACTACACATGGCGGGGGGATTGTGGTGAGTAGAGGGACGGGGAACCTCGAACATCTGGTGTATTGACAAGACTCCTTCTGGATATAATGTTTTACAGATTGATTCTAATAATGCGCAACGAACAACAACCCTATGCTGCTGGACCTGACTTAAAGGTCACATGCAACGTAAAACACAACTTTGCAGATTCTGATCTATACCTTTCGGTATGGACTTACCGAAACAAATCATCAAAAATGCAAATGAAAAAAAACGCGCGAAATCGTAGTTCAAACGATTCACTAATTTTCCCCCAGCGTTTTGGGGGAATTCAAGTGGTTCCAGCAGCTGGGCTGCGCTCATAGCACGTGCGCAGTGAAATAGGTTCGCGCAACTTGGAAGGGGGTTATCCGGTGAATACTCGGTGAAGGCTTTGGTGTGAGCTATTTTTCTAATGTTTTGTTGATATCTCACAGGCGCGAGCTTTTTATATGTTATGACAGTAAATTAACTGTTTATATAATTTCATTTGTCTATTTCACCACACGTTCTTCTTACCGAGTCACTTTCTCAGTTCGATACTTAAAAGCAATGTCATAGCGTTGACAGAATTTCTAACTGTGATATAGATATGTCGTTGTCACAGACAAAACTCAATGTCTTGTTTTATTGACACCTGTGTGTCTGCCTGCCTGTCTGCTAATGACAATATTCAATACACGATCACTGACCACATGCAATTTGAGCTTAACACCAATCAGGCTATACACCATAAACAAAATGCATTGATTTATGGCCCGAGTTCGGTCTCTGTCACATTATGTAATTACACAGACAGGCAGGTGTGATACTTGAACACATGACATGTTATGATGTCTGTTGATTGCAAAATGTTACACACAAAAAATGAGCATCCCAACATCTCTATATATACACACACAAAGAGCCTTGAGGGCATCTGCAAATGAACCAGCCGTTACACTTGAGTGCACACCCGCCCGCTCTGACTGGGTTCGGTATCCCGGCTGCTTCGTTTCTTGGGAAGTAAAGCCAAGTACACAATATTGCACTTTTGATTTGCGATTGTACGCTTATAATTGTGTTTATATGTTTTTTCATAATCTGCAATGTATATTATATGTCATGAATAAGTGATAATTGTGTTTTAATTATGTTTGATTTTTTTGATTGCATGTGACCTTTAATGTAGATATGTCGTATGCCATTATAATTTGAGTGAGTAAGCATTGCTTAATTAACGCCGCTTGTAGCAATATTCCAGCAATATCACGGCGGGGGATACCAGAAACGGGCTTCACACATTGTACCCATGTGGGGAATCGAACCCGGGTCTTCAGCGTGACGAGCGAATGCTTTAACCATTAGGCTACCCCACCGACCTTATAAATTAACATGTGGCAAATGTTGATGTATTCTGTGGGTAGAAGAGTCATGTGTTGACGTATTTGTGATAAGTGTGACGTGTTTACGTTTTTCTGTGATTAGACGTGTGACAATGTTGACTGAGTGACTGACTGAGTTTGGTTTTTACGCCGCTTTTAGCAATATTCCAGCAACATCACGGCGTGGGACACCAGAAATGAGCTTCACACATTGTACCCATGTGGGGATTCGAACCCGGGTCTTCGGCGTGACGAGCCAACGCTTTAACCACTAGGCTACCCCACCGCCCCTGTGACAATGTTGAAGTATTGTGAGAGCAGAAGTGTGACATATTCTTACGTATTCTGTGAGAAATTGGACATTTTGTTATATGTGACACATTTTTCTTTCTGATATAACTTGTGTATTGTGAGAGCAGAACTGTGACATATTCTTACGTATTCTGTGAGAAATTGGACATTTTGTTATATGTGACACATTTTTCTTTCTGATATAGCTTGTGATTAGAACAGTGACGTATGTTGACGTATTCTGCGAGTAGACGTCTGACGTGTTGACGCAATCTGTGGGTAAATGTGTGACGTGTTAACGTAATCTGTGGGTAGATGTGTGACGTGTTGACGTAATCTGTGGGTAGATGTGTGACGTGTTGACGTAATCTGTGGGTAGATGCGTGACGTGTTGACGTAATCTGTGGGTAGATGTGTGGCGTGGTGACGTATTTTGTGAGCAGATGTGTGACGTGTTGACGTAATCTGTTGGTAGATGTGTGACGTGTTGACGTAATCTGTTGGTAGATGTGTGACGTGTTGACATAATCTGTATGTAGATGTGTGACGTGTTGACGTAAACTGTGGGTAGATGTGTGACGTGTTGACGTAATCTGTGGGTAGATGTGTGACGTGTTGACATAATCTGTATGTAGATGTGTGACGTGTTGACGTAAACTGTGGGTAGCTGTGTGACGTGTTGACGTAATCTGTATGTAGATGTGTGACGTGTTGACGTAATCTGTAGGTAGATGTGTGACGTGTTGACGTAATCTGTGGGTAAATGTGTGACGTGTTAACGTAATCTGTGGGTAGATGTGTGACGTGTTGACGTAATCTGTGGGTAGATGTGTGACGTGTTGACGTAATCTGTGGGTAGATGTGTGACGTGTTGGCGTAATCTGTGGGTAGATGTGTGACGTGTTGGCGTAATCTGTGAGTAGATGTGTGACGTGTTGACGTAATCTGTATGTAGATGTGTGACGTGGTGACGTAATCTGTATGTAGATGTGTGACGTGTTGACGTAATCTGTATGTAGATGTGTGACGTGTTGACGTAATCTGTGGGTAGATGTGTGACGTGTTGGCGTAATCTGTGGGTAGATGTGTGACGTGTTGGCGTAATCTGTATGTAGATGTGTGACGTGTTGACGTAATCTGTGGGTAGATGTGTGACGTGTTGGCGTAATCTGTGGGTAGATGTGTGACGTGTTGGCGTAATCTGTGGGTAGATGTGTGACGTGTTGACGTAATCTGTGGGTAGATGTGTGACGTGTTGGCGTAATCTGTGGGTAAATGTGTGACGTGTTGACGTAATCTGTGGGTAGATGTGTGACGTGTTGACGTAATCTGTGGGTAGATGTGTGACGTGTTGACGTAATCTGTGGGTAGATGTGTGACGTGTTGACGTAATCTGTGGGTAGATGTGTGACGTGTTGACGTAATCTGTGGGTAGATGTGTGACGTGTTGGCGTAATCTGTGGGTAGATGTGTGACGTGTTGGCGTAATCTGTGAGTAGATGTGTGACGTGTTGACGTAATCTGTATGTAGCTGTGTGACGTGGTGACGTAATCTGTATGTAGATGTATGACGTGTTGACGTAATCTGTATGTAGATGTGTGACGTGTTGACGTAATCTGTGGGTAGATGTGTGACGTGTTGGCGTAATCTGTATGTAGATGTGTGACGTGTTGACGTAATCTGTGGGTAGATGTGTGACGTGTTGATGTAATCTGTGGGTAGATGTGTGACGTGTTGGCGTAATCTGTGGGTAGATGTGTGACGTGTTGACGTAATCTGTGGGTAGATGTGTGACGTGTTGGCGTAATCTGTGGGTAGATGTGTGACGTGTTGACCTAATCTGTTGGTAGATGTGTGACGTGTTGACGTAATCTGTGGGTAGATGTGTGACGTGTTCACGTTTCTAAGGGTAGATGTGTGACGTGTTGACTTATTCTGTGGTAAGATGTGCGACCTGTTGAAATTTCAGACAAGGCTCTCCGGCTTCTCACGGAAGCTCTCAACCTGAGACGGAAGCTTGGTTGGTATGACTTCAACACGGCCCTCACACTGTGGTACAGGGGCAACGCATACTGTCTCAAGTAAGCTACTTAACATAAACTACCGCCTCCGTGGTGTAGTGGTTAGAGCGTCCGCCCGGAGAGCGGAAGGTCGCGGGTTCGATCCCCGACCGCGTCATACCAAAAGACGTTAAAATATGGTACTTGTTGGTCCCTGCCTGGCGTTCGGCATTAATGGGTACAACAAGGACTGGTCGGACAATCAGTATAATGTGTCTGAGTGGGGTATTCATGCTTCACTGCGGCATGGTATCTCAGTGGGCTAGCACTATAAAACCAGCTTCAGTCTGGGCTAGTACAAGCAGCCACACATACACATACACCCGCATGCACGTCGTCATATGAGCGAAATATTCTCAAGCACGACGTTAAACCCAATTTCACCTCACCTCACCTCACTTAACATACACTACGTATTGGAAATATATGTTATCCAAAATCCTATGAAAGTGCTTAAACAGAATTACTAGTGAATGCAAATTATTAAGGATGCCCGCTTGCCTATATTGTGTTTCAAATTTTTTAAAACAAATACTTTAAAAATATTTGTCCAAATGAAAAAAGCGGGTTACTGTGGATGATATTGCGCGAGACGCACAACTAATGCATACTTAATTGTAGTGCCAAGTTTGGAAATCATTCACCTTTGTCAGTTTTGTATAAATACAATAGTGTTTTATAAAATATTTGTACTTTATATGAATAAAATGTTTATTTATAAGATATGTAAATGGCCATTGTTTCATTTATGCGGGGCGGTGGGGTAGCCCAGTGGTTAAAGCGTTCGCTCGCCACGCAGAAGACCCGGGTTTCATTCACCACATGTCCCCGGCCGTGATATTACTGGAATATTGCTAAAAACGGTGTAAAACTAAACTCACTCACTCACTCTTTCAGTTGTGCGCATTTACGTTATTTCTTTCAATTTTAACGAGCAGCGACATTCCATTGATGACATCATGCTATGCCTACAGTACAACTGTGCTGCTACCGTACAAACCCCCGTTAGACATAATTCTTTTCACGTAAGTTTTGGTATATAACGTACTTTCTTTGATGCTATATGATATCTATGATTATCGCCTTCGTGGCTCTATTTCGTGTGTGTGTGTGTGTGTGTGTGTGTGTGTGTGAGAGAGAGAGAGAGAGAGAGAGAGAGAGAGAGAGAGAGAGAGAGAGAGAGAGAGAGAGAGAGAGAGAGAGAGAGAGAGAGAGAGAGAGAGAGAGAGAGAGAGAGAGAGAGAGAGAGTGTGTGTGTGTGTGTGTGTGTGTGTGTGTGTGTTGTTTGTCCCCCCGCCGTGATATTGCTGGAATATTACTAAAAGCGGCGTAAAACTAAACTCAGTCAATCAGTCTATTTCGGGGATAAGCGGTATCGTACGTTGAACTTGAATGAACATAATTATTGGGATTGTTGTATCGCTTTTATTTACCTTATGCTGTTAGATGTCTCCAATACACTACATTTCCAACTGCCTAGTGAACACAAGTATAATATGTTATACCAGTGCATTGGGACCATTTGTACTGAACGAGAAGATTGATTGGCAGGAGACAAACAACGAGGTCGAAGAACGAGTTGTTTCTCTCCTGCCCTGTCATAGTGGTTCTATACTAAAGTACTGTCGGAAATGTTAGAAAAATGCTTTTTAGCCTTAATATCTTTATAAAGGTGATAAACGAACTATGTTGTCAATATATCAACTTGCCTATTGTCCACCTAATTTTTATTCCAATCGATTTAACATTCCCATGCATTTAAAGGGCAGTTTACAGGAGAGAATTTGGTACCAAAATAGCAACTTAAGATTTTTTCAGAGTTCAACAACAGAAATCTGAAAAAGGCTTTACATTTATGCTAATGATACAGGTGGTGTAAAATTATGAATTAACGTTTTTCCTAAACAAATAAATGTTGAATGTTTGTGTTACTTTACTTAATTATCGTTTCTTTATTGAAAAAATATTAATATAAATGTTAAGTCTTGATAAATAAGTTTCCCGTCATGCATGCACATCTTTATCACAGCGTCCACTATGGCCAACGATTTGCAGTCGATTGTTGCAAAGGTTTATAGGTTCTTTCTGCTTAAAAAAGGCGGAGGTAAACCTTTCATTAGTTTAGAAAGGGTTTATTACAGAACTTGTAGAGCTGTTGGCAAGTCTTACCAACAAGTTTACAATATTGTAAACAAATCAGACAAGACAGGGACCGTCTCAAATGCAAAACTGGGACGTGAAACCATCCTCGACAACTTTGACAAGGGAGTGCTTAGACGGGCGGTCTACAAACTTTATGAGAAGAAAAATATATATATTCTAAAGAAGCTACACCAGTGACTTCGTTAAATCTTTGGCCAATGTTCACAACTAGATTAAACTGACCGAATTACATCCATATTTTTTCAATGAAATATACTGTTGGCATGCAAAACATTTATTAATACGTTGCACATTTCTACAATCAATCGATAAGATAACACAAGTGATAGGATTCTTTCCAATGTACAGTAATTCGTATGTTTATTTAAAAACGAACACACATACACAAATGATCCCTTACATAACCGATACGTATACTATACGTACACATATTCAACATTTTGCAGAAAACATCTATTGAGATGACCCCTCGCACGAGCGTGTGCTCAGGTGTCAATTTCACCTGTCGACACCGTGCATGCTGATGACGTAACACAGGCAGTTAATGTTTGTATCAAATAACGTCCCACTACCCTTTATTTTTCTAAGTTTTGGGTATTTTCATCAGTAAAAACACATTTTAGAGCATGTCTCAAAATTCATTCCCTCGGTCTACATTAGGTAGACGTTTCTTGAAGTGATATTTGTTATTTAAGTAACTGTAATACCTCTTTTTAATATAAGTCAAAAAGCATTTTTCTAGCATTTCCGACAGTACTTTAGTTACATCCTCGTACTATATTTGTTTACAACACTTTTCACAACACAGACTGTAATCTATCTCTTAACGTCACTACTGAAACTTCCGCATTGAGGTCACCATGACCTGAGTATCACTCCGCTCAATGTATCATGTATACGTGAGATTGCATTCCTCCGCCTGACGCCTCAAGATGAAACAAAACAGAATAATATTTGATGCAAAACAACTTCAATTTAATTGCTATGATGTTTCAAAGATTTCATTGTGTTTTTGAAAACTGGACTGCCGAACTTTGGAAAAAGTAGATCCGGCAGCCGTCCAGAACGGAAATCGGAGTGCAATATGGAATTCCCTACGCGTGCCGTATTACAGGAATGTACTGCTTATGATAATCGTATTGTATGTAATACAATTCACATCGGAAGACTTACTTAATATAATATTGTGATAAGTGTCAATTTAATCAAGTACAGTGAAATGTGGTTTAATGTTTCATTGGTTTATTTGGCGACGTCCATGCACGTGCATGCATGGCTGCTCGTACTAATACAGACAAGCAGCTTATAATGCTAACCCTTTGAGTGAATGAGTTAGTTTGAGTAGCGTAACCCAGTGGTTAAAGTTTTCGCTCGTCACGCAAAGGTCTGGGTTCGATTCCCCACAAGGGTGCAATGTGTGAAGCCCGTTTCTGATGTCCTCCGCTTTGACATTGCTGGACTATTGCTAAAACGACGTAAAACCCAACTCACTCATTCACTATTTTGATATGGTTCATCGTGGGAACTATCGATGAATAATATATTCACTGTTACTGCCGTTTGAAGATTGTCTGATAATCTTTCACAAGATTGGTACTCATCCCTACATAGTACAACCAAGTTTTCTAATTATATTCTTTTCAAGTCCCTCCTGAATGTTGAAACTTATATCAGTTTAGGTATTGCCCCATATTTAAGAAATTGTTTAACAAAATTTAGATGCGGTAAATTTAAACTTAGTTCTGAGACCGGTAGATATAACAATGTCCCTTATTATTCAAGATTCTGTCCTTTTTGCTACAAAAATAATGTTAATTTAATTGAAGATGAAATACATGTTTTAATTTATTGTAAAGCCTACTTAGATATAAGGAATAATTTTCTGGGTAAATATTTGAAACATCCTATTTCACAACAGTTTTATAAACATAATGACTTCAACAAACATAAATGTTATAAATAATTTATGCATATTTTTATATTATGTTGGGAAAATAAGAGATTCTGATGTTTTTATGTAAAACCTGGGATAATCTACAACGTTATATAGTCTCCCTGGTAAAACGCATGTAACTTCTTATTATATTTATGAATGAATTTTGGGCCAGTGGCCTATTACTGAATAAAATGTCTGTCTGTCTGCCGTTTGAAGTACATTCGTTCGTGTTACAGAGGTCTTCTGGATGACGCCATCATGTCCTGTCACCAGGCTCTCGAAGTCATCATCCGATGCACACCACGCCACTCCTCCAACGTTGACATTAGACTCTCGCTCGCGCATGCGTACATGGCTAAAGGTGACCGGAAGAAGGCGGAAGGAACTCTCATGGAAACCTTGGATTATGTTCGTCTATTCCAGTCAAACATGAACGAGGTCAGCCTACTGTTGGCTCTGGAACATCTGGTCCTGATGAGGGAAGGTGAGAAGGATTTCGGGAGGGTCCACAAGCTGCTCACACAGGAGGCACAGCGTTTGATCGACGTGTTCAGAGATACAGACTCCAAAACGAGTCTTTCTATTCACCGGAAGTTGTCACTGTGGCGAGTATATTGTGGCGAGGTGTTGTGTAGGAGCGAGAACAGAAAAAATGCAACTAGTCACATCGACTGGAAGAATCTCTTTAAATGTCAATACTGCAGCATGCTGGGCTACAGTGATGAAAACTGGAGGTCTGATCGTGCGATGTAGCGTTTTGTATGGTGTGCACTACTCATGTCAGTGATATCTAAGGGACAGATCACTGACATGCATGGTGTGTGTGTGTGTGCGTGCGTGCGTGCGTGCACCCCAACCTCCCCTCATCGAACACCCATGAAAATATTTTCGCTCGACATTCCAAGTGTCCAGAAAGAAATGTGTTGTGAAGATATATTAAACTTTTCAGCTGTATTGAATGCTAAGCCCCTTGATGTATAGTGATTTTATCCTTTATAGAAGCAAGCCGAGATAAGAGGAAGCCAGTCTGTTATTTTCATTTTTTAGAAATTTTCGTTTAAACTATTAATTATTACCTTATGATACCTTTTAAAACCTGTACAAGTCAAAGCTCCTGTCTGATTGTACAGTTAACAAAATTATGAACTTCCGAGTTAGCTCCTTCGGCATGTGAAAGGTTAAATTCATACCAATTTCAATGTTGCTATGGTTACAGTTTCTCCCAGACTAACATCACCAATTTCATGCTGATCCGTAGTAAAGTGTAACACACAGCTTTGGACTTCACGCCTTCATATTTGACTGAAATGCTGTTGAAAACTGCGCTAATCCAAACTCACTCACTTACAATGTGAGTAGCAAGAGAACTATCCATATACCAAGTTACCGATAATACTTTAATTTTTATTATTTCACGGATTTCCGGTAACAGATAATTTGTTCCACTAGAATAATTTACTTCTTCAGTACCTTTTGTGGAAAAGATGAATTGACAGTATGTACTTTTTGATATCCTCTCCACGTTTATGAAGGGAAATGTTCATTCCAGAATGTAATCTAACTTACCTTTTAAAGTCCCAACAAAGCCCTAATCCGGCCAAATTCCATGTCTTTGCTCTGAGTGAAAAAGATTCGTGCACATGTTCATTGTAACTCTTTAATATTGTATACTCATGGAAAGGAATAAGGGAACACATGAAAGTACAAGTGTTTCTTTGTTCTTTTCCAGGTTTCACAAGGTATGTATTACACTGTCTGTGAAAGTCTGGAAATGGATAAAGGAACACTGGTATTTTCCTGTGTTCCCGTATTTGTTTCCATGAGTATATGTTCACGGAGTATCTGTAGTATGGATCATGTTTCCGTCTCTAGAAATAAAGAATGTTGAGTTTTCTTGAGTTTTAACTTGTGCTGTATACAAGTACACATGAGTTGCGTTATGAACGTGCAACATGACAATGCATATGCATGTATTACTTGAGCAACGGGTGTTGCATGTGCACCGTGCGTAGTATGGCATTTACACACGTTATTTATCAGTAGCAGGGCGTCACACGTGCACCATGAACATCACGCCATTTGCACACGTCCATCATCAGTAGCATGACATTTACACACATGTACATGGGTAGCATGACATTTACACATGTACATGAGGTAGCATGACATTTACAGACATGTATATGAGTAGCATGACATTTACACACATGTACATGAGTAGCATGACATTTGCACATGAGTAGCATGACATTTACACACATGCACATGAGTAGCATGACATTTACATGTACATGTACATGACATTTACACACATGATATGGCACATCAAGTGTAGCATGACATTTACACACATGTATGCATGGTAGCATGACATTTACATGTACATATAGCATGACATGACATTTACACACATGTACATGGTAGCATGACATTTACACACATGTACATGAGTAGCATGACATTACACACATGTATATGAGAAGCATGACATTTACAGACATGTACATGGATAGCATGACATTCACACACATGTACACGAGTAGCATGACAGTTACAGACATGCACACGAGTGAGTGACATGACACATGCAGCATGACATTTACACAAATGCACATGTGTAGCATGACATTTACAGACATGTACTTGAGTAGCATGACATTTACACACATGTACATGAGTAGCATGTCATTTACACACATGTATATGAGTAGCATGACATTCACACACATGTACACGAGTAGCATGACAGTTACAGACATGCACACGAGTGAGTGACATTCAGACACATGCACACGAGTAGGATGACATTTACACAAATGCACATGTGTAGCATGACATTTACACACATGTACATGAGTGGCATGACATTTACACGAATGCACATGCGTAGCATGACATTTACACACATGTACTTGAGTAGCATGACATTTACACACATGTACTTGAGTAGCATGGCATTTACACAAATGCACATGCGTAGCATGACAATTACAGACATGTACACGAGTAGCATGACATTCACACATATGTACATGGGTAGCATGACATTCGCACACATGTACTTGAGTGAGTTAAAATTTACCGTCCCATCGGCAATACTGCAGTCATATCGTGACGAGGATTTGAATAATAAATAAAGTCAAATAATTTAAGTCAAATTATAATACCCTGTCAACAACGGACAGTAAAATAACTAGAGGATCACAGATATAGATATATAACTAGCGTGAAGAACTAAAACTTTTAACTATACACGACAATAAACTATAAAAACAAGCTATATATATTGCCAACAACCGAAGGTAGATCACCGTACTAGGGACCATGGGGACTTACAGTACATTTGCTTCCTGCATGGACCCTAGCTGGATTTACACCATCCCTTCAGCCGTTAGCTATTCAGTCAAATCTAGCCATACATTAAAAATAATACGTATTCTACGAGTAAAAAGGTGGTAAGAATAAATTTCCCTTGAATGTTTAGAGACTTACGTACCCTCTCAGGAGGACAATAATGTTACAGTACACTAACCCCCCTCGAGGATGCAGTTGCTAATTTCAACTACATGTATACCAATTATAAAATACGTCTACAAAAATCACATAATCTACAAAACACATATCAATCAAAATGAATTAAATAAATCAATTTCTGAATGAAATATATAAAACTCAATGATTAAATGAAAGTGATCACTTGCTTGACAACGACATCAGAATCTATGTCGAAACGTCGCCCTTCACAGAATAAAGGAAGTTGTAAATCCAAAAACTTGTCATCATTCTTCATCAACTCAAGTTCTAAAATGCCCATCAAAGAAATTGCCAAGGAGGAGAAGAAAGAAGACGGGAAGGAGATATATTTTCCAGCGCAATGCCGGCAGTGGAAATGAATGGTTTAATTCTGAGCCCAAGAGACGGAACAAGAGAAGGCTTCTTGTTGTATAAATCCTCTTAGAGGGGATTGAAGACACAGTTATATGCAGGGTTAAATTCGTTAGAGTATAGGTTTGTAATTTATTGTAAAGGTAATTTTATACAGCGTTGTGTAAGAGATGGCTCATCTGCCTCGACGTAAAGACTCTCAAGAGGAGAAGTTCTATAAGATCCAACACAAAGTCGTAGACCTTGGTGGTGGAGAGAATCGAGAATTTTAAGGTTGCTTTTGCAGGCTCCACCATATACGATGGCGCCATAATCAAGTTTTGAACGGATCAGTGATCGATATAGATGTAGGGGGGCAGTTTGATCCCCTCCCCACTTTGAATTAGACACGACTAATTTAACCTTTAACAAGTCAATCAACACTTTATTTCCGTACAAAGGCCATCGGGCCAATATACATACAATTTCATAGATTATAATACAAGATGCATATATGTATACACGCCCATCTGCATACATGTATACAGGTAATCTGAATACAGGTTAATATGGATAAAGTCGATAAAGATAAAATATGATAATACAAAAGTATAATATCGTATTTAATATTATCATTCTTGTAATAACTTACCTCTACGTTCATAAGAATGCATTATATATAGGCTGAGCATTTTCAAACTATGTACGTTATTTGTCATAAGTAGTTTCTTAAAGTTATGCATATTCGTTTTAAAATCACTTGGTAAATATTTACGACGTAAGTCTATCTAGGACAAATGAAAGTAAAATGGTATTCGTCTTCTACACCTCCGTAACAGATAGGACACGTTCTCAAATTTGCGTTAATTTTACACCATCGTCCTTCATTAAATTTTAACCTTAGTAATCCTGCTCTAAATCTAACTAAATATTTACGTAATTTATAATCTGCAAATTCAAAAAGGTATTTTTCAGGGTTTAATAAACTTTTGAATTCTCTATACAAAACATAACGTGTGCTATTGTCAAAATCGGATCTCCAGTTTTGTTTAAAAACATCCACTAAACGTGTTTTGAAGATTCCGATAAAACTTACACGATTTCCAACAGTTTGTGATAACCAAACAAATCCAAATCCATAAGAAAAGAGCAAATAGCGAATTTTTGAAGCCCATGTCTCATAGCCAAGGTTATCGAGATTAAGTAACATTTGATAAGCTTTCTTTGGTCTGCGATCTTTGTGCATTGTTATTATTTTAATCCAGTAGTCAAGGCAACGAACAGCTGCATTTACAAAAATAGGGAAACAGACACATTCACCATACACAATAGCGTTAGGTGTCTGAGGTCCAACGTTTAGGTATAATTTGCAAGCCGAAAGATGTATTTTCTCAATGCATTCATATTTTTTATATCCTCACATTTCTGAAGCATATAATAGGATTGATTGTATTTGACTATCAAATATTTTGAAAAAGATATCTGGTGATAACGAACCGATTTTTCTAAGGTTGCCATTTAATTCCATTAATCCTTTTTTACCACGCAAGGGGAGATCGGATAACGATTTGCCCTGGCTAACATTACACGTGAATAGAAAACCGAGATACTTATAGCTATTGACTCTCTTATAAGTTATTACCTTGAAAGTACCATGCATCAGTACTTTTAAGTCTGCCTCCCCTCCTGAATACAACAATATTAGATTTATCAAGGTTTACACCCCACTTATCTGAATACAATGATAAAATATGTAATTGATTTTGAAGACCACATTTAGTATCTGAAGCTAAAATAACATCATCAGCGAAAAGTAGCATAAACATTTCTATCATATCGGGAAATAACTGGATGCCGTGATTTCCATTTTGTGAAATTTCAATAGAAAGCTCATTTATGAACAGAGAGAAGAGGATTGGACTCAGCATACAACCTTGTTTTAGACCAAAAGGACAGTTAAAGTAGTGTGTTAAATGTGAATTACATCGCACACATGATTTAACGGAAGAGTAAATACCTTTTAGCGCTAGCATCATTTTCCCACCCAAGCCGTAGCTTGATAAAAAACTCCATAATTTAAATCTGTCTATTGAATCAAAAGCCTTTTCAAAATCTATGAAAGCAACAAACAGTTTTTTTCTCTTTTTACATAAGCATTTTTCAATAAGTGCATTCAACGTGAAAATTTTGATCTATGGTAGAATAACCTCCTCTAAAACCCGCTTGAGTTTCTGATATCTTATTCATGAAAATTGCCTCATTGTGTTAAACGAGTGTTTAATGTGCTGGTATATAATTTGCTTAAAATACTTAACAATGAAATGCCCCTATAGTTATCTGGGTTGTGGATATCACCCTTCTTATGTAATGGAATAATTATTGCTTTACTCCAAGCATCTGGAAAGCTGCCGCTCTCAAATAGTTTATTAAATAGTACGAGAAGAAATGGCATAACGACCTTTTCCGATGATTTAATCATTTCTGCTAGTACATTGTCGACCCCAGGCGATTTACCAATTTTTAACCGTTTAATAGCATCGAAATTTCTTCTTCTTTAATTGGAGAATCCAAAATCTGTTTCTCAAAATCGCTTGATTCAGGACATATATGTGCAGCACATGTAACACAAGTATCTTGATCTTGATCAGTAAGATCAGTTTTATCATACAGTGATTTGAAGTGATTAAACCATGATTCATCAGAAATATCGGATGGTGGTTTCCTGGGATTAGATATATTTCTCAGTTCCTTCCAAAATGATTTAGGATTGTGTCTAGAGTTATATAACTTTCTGGCTGTTGGCTGTTGGTTTATTCTTTTCCACTTCCTACATTTATTTTTAAAAGTCATTCTGAGTATGCAATATTTCTTTCTATTTAAGTTATTCCTATCATTTCTAAAGCGCTTAAGACCCTTTCTTGCCTCTAATTTAGCCCCGTGGCAATCACTACCATAGAAGTTCTTAGGTCTAGTTTTAGATCGAGGTGGCATTTTCATACAACCTGCCGCTTCTAATATACAATCTGC